TGATATAGGCATGGAAACTAATTTGTTGGTTTTAATGTAGCGTACATCTCTCTCTCTCTCTCTCTCTCTCTCTCTCTGTGTGTGTGCGCGCGCGCACGTGTTCATGCACATTGCCAAGACTTTTTTTGTGTGTGTGTGTTGTATGTGTTTGGTGATGGGAATTCCAGTTTACTTTCTGTTAAATTGGTATTTTCTTGTGCCTTGTGGGACAAATCTATGATTAAGTATTTTGGTATCAAATCTCACCCTGATCACTGCTCCTTGTCTTAAGTTCCTTTGCTCTGAATCTCATCAGTTTCCTTTCTGTGGAATGGGGTGTTGAAAAAAGGAACTGTAGGTTTGCTGTTTTGGATTTTGGAGCTCAGCCCTCACCTTTGTTTTGTAATTAGACTCTTGGGAAAGTTACTTTCCTTTTAGCCTTCTTGAAAATGTGTGTTTTGTGACCAGACATCTCCACCCCTCTCCATGGCAGTTCTTTTGTGAATGGGCAAGCTGTGTATGACAGCCATATTCTAAGAGTGCCCATGACACACTTTCAACATTCCAGATGTTTCCACCTATGTAGAACATTTGGGTACCCTGAGATTTATTCTATCTCTAGCATGAATTGTCTGCACAAGAAGCCAGAGCTAGGGAAGCTGGAGCAGGTAAAGGGAATATTCTTAATTGGATTCCCCAACAGGGCTTACTGACATCAACAGCTCTGTGAGAAAGGAGTAAGGGGTACAGGAATACAAAGAGAACTTCAAAACCTGCTCCAACTCACTTAGCCCAAGAAATGGAATGGGTGTAGACTGTTCCACGAGCCCTGCTGAAGTTTTCCTCTTTCCTCCCCTATCACACTTTTCTTCTGTGCTATGCCTTTTTGGAAGATGCTCCCCAGGGAGGTTCGTCTGGCGCTGTTTCTTTATTCTTTTCGGCGTCAGGCAAAGACCTTTTTATTTTCCCAATAGTTTAACACTTAATTGGTTTTATCCTTGATTTTATCATTATTTATTGGATGCAGTGTGTTGTGCATTGTCTGTTGTTTATGGTCGCTTTGTTTTTGTTTTGTTCTTTGTAAGACGTCCAGAGACTTCTAGTATTGGACAGCATATAAAAACTTTAAATAAATAAATTGCAAGCCTATCACCATGAGTTTTTGCCACTTGGAGGGATAAAATACTTTAAACAGTAATAATGAATACTAAGAGGGCAATGGATGGTCCGGAGCAGCCAAAATAGCTTTATCTTGTAGGAATTCTGTTTCTTTGCCTGTGTCTCTATTGATCAGACTTCTTGTTTTGTGGTGTCACACTGTCTCCAGCTTCTGGCAACCCTACCAAGAAAGGCACTCCAAAAAGTCCTTTCCATGGCAGCGCCACTTAGCTCTTCCAAGTTCAAGCCTGTGGCTTCCTTTATGGATTCAGTCCATCTCATACTTGGCCCTCCTTTTTCCATCTGCCTGCAACTTTCACTACAGTGATAGTCTTCCCCAGAGATTGATCAGACTACTTACATTTAATATATGTATCTGATTTCCATTTTTAAGACTTGTTCTTTTTTTGACATTGGGGAAAATTTTGAGACATGCTGTATTTGTGTAGAAGAGACTGAATCCATTTGATTGAAGATGGAACTGAACTGTGACCCAAAAGTTCATGGAGCAGCTTGTAAAGTGATTTATGACAGCTATAGGGAACCTCCCTTTCAGGATAACTCCTCCTATTGTTCTGCTTATTTATTTGATTTATATCCCATTTTGTCCTTGCAATGAACTCAAAGTGGATGAAATCATTCTCCTGCTGCCCACCTTTTTCTTTTCTTTCTTTAATGAACTCAAAGCAGCTTATATCATTCTTCTCCTGATGCTCTCAGTCTTATCCCAACAACAGCAGCCCTGTGAGGTAGCTTGGGCTGAGAGTCTGTGACTGGCTCAAAGTCACCCAGTTGGCTCCATGGCCGAGCTGGGACTAGAACCCGGATTGCCGAAATCCCAGTCCCACGCTCCCACTGCATCACACTGGCTCTCTGCTTATCTGAATAGGGAGAGTGATAACATTCCAGTCAGCTTAAGGACATATGGAATGACTTTAGAGAGCAAAGACTCATATGGCAAGTTGCATCCATTACTGACAGCTGGACAGAGATGCTACATATATCTGTTCTTATGCTCATGCTGAAACCTCCATGACTGAATGGGAGAGCAGAATATCACAGTGCTAAACAAGAAAATAGATACAGTGGTAATATAAGCAATCGGGTGGAATGGGTAGACTCAGCAGCATATTTTTAATCACAGATATAAAATGTGTGCAAAGGACAGGGAAGGCTGTATTGGAGGTGGGGGGCTTCTACATATCAAAGGAACTTAAGAGAAATATATGTCTTCACTGTTCCCTGGACACTCTGAAAATGTTCTCAAGATAGAGAAAAATCATGCAGGCTGCTGTGGAGGAAAAAAATGTAATAATAGTTTAGTTTACTAGCATCGCAACAACTCAGTAAAAATGCACATTTAGGTGGCCACAGAGATAATGTTTCTGGGTAAAATCAGTGCTTTTGTCTTGGAACTACTAGTCATGGAACTAAGTGAACGAAGATCTTTTTCTGCCCAGGGTCTGGTGCAAGAAGTAGTACTATCAAACTAATTTGGGAACAGTAACCATATATAGCCATTGTTATTAAATTTGGCAGGTATCTATATCTGAAAGTTGCCCAGAAAGTCTAACACAATTACATTTGATTTCAGATGGGGGAAACAATCTAAAGTTATCGGGGTGATTAACAAGGAGATTCAAGGAGATTATGAGAGAACCAGTGTGGTGTAGTGGTTAAGAGCATGGGACTGGGACTCGGATGAGTCCCCGCTCAGCCATGGAGCCAAGTGGGTGACTTTGGGCCAGTCACAGACTCTCAGCCCAACCTACCTCACAGGGTTGTTGTTGTGGGGATAAGATGGAGGAGGAGAATGATGTAAGCTGCCTTGAGCCCTTTGTAGGAAAAAGGCAGGATGTAAATCGAAAAATGAATCAAATAAATGAAAAGGAAGCAGAATAACAGTGAAGCCCTCTGGCCCTCTGTTCAGCATCTAGAGGGCCATGGGATTTTTTGGATTTGCAGAACCAAGGCTGAGAAAGAGGTCTGACCTTAGATCTGCGTTCTGAGCTCAGATTCCCTCCCACTGCTCACAGCCAGTGCGCAAAGAATGGCACTGGCTGCTTCTCCACGGGCAGAACGGTAACCTTGGAGAAGGGGTCTAGGAGGCTTTCTGGAGGAAGCAGAGGAGGTCAGCACTGAGAAGATGCAACGTATTCTGGTGGTACCACAGTCTCCCCCACACCCGAAGTGTCACAATTACATGGCCAAAAAGGTCTTTGGAGAGAAGGAATAGGGATATGTGATGCTGGAAAGATCAGAATCTGGTTGTCAGAAATGGGCTGTGACAGATTTTCCCCCCAGGTTTTAGAAATACAAGTGAAATGCTTGCGTATTTGAGAACCAGGACCTGAGTATTTGTAGCAAATGGTTTTGTTTTGTTTTTGTGCAAATGCGGTTTGAATCTTTTAAGTTTGTGTTAGTGGGTTTGCTGTGTTTTCCCAAGCCTGTTACATAATCTTGGCTGCAGCATGTTCCCTTGATAAGTATCTATCTTAGATTCCCTTTTCTCACTACTTTATTATTAGCTCCTTACATCCCTTGCTTCACAAAGAACCTGTCAATTTCATCTAGGTCTGCATCAACATTATGGTTTTCTGCTGGGGTTAAGTGATTTGTACACATCAAATAGACATTTTAAATGATGTTCAGTTATTTTTAAGCTCCCATGATTGTTGCAAACAGGGTCATGGGTTTTTAGTTTGTTTCCTCAATCCACCTTGTTCTTCCACCCATATTCTGCATACCATGTCTGATATCTTTCAGTAATGAATGTGCTCTGACACATACTGTTAATTATGCTCACCTGTTTATGTTTATACTACTGATGGTTTGTTTGTTTCTTTCCTTTTAAGCAATGAGGTGGTAGAAAAGTGTTAGGGTCCCGTGAATGGCTTGAATTTACACGACTTTCAAATGTGTGAAAATTTAAAACTACAATTTGTGCAAAGTTCCTGAACTTTTTATAAAAGTAAATCTGTGCAAGTTGTAACCCTTTTATAAGCAGAAGTCTTCATACTGGCTCAACTCACATTGGATTTGGTACGAGCACAGAAGAAATGCAATGGAATTCATGAACTGAGGTGGCAAAAGCCATCCAATTTTCATCCCCCAAGCATATTCCTAATACATCCCTTAGCTAGCCATATGGACAATGCTGAGGAGCCTCAGTGCATGGGTGAGATGGTTGTGCAGAGAGGAGAGTTCATATTTGAAACCCACTGGGAAAAACTTTGGGACAAGCTGGGCTGCACAAGAGGAACGGGCTCCACTTGCACCAAAACGGAATAAGAATATTAGTGGTAAACATAAAAAAGGTGGCAGAGCAGCTTTTAAACTGAACCCTGAGGAAAAGCTGACAGGATCTGGGATGCTTCTGGTTTGAGTTACATCATCTCTCAGGGAATGAGAATGAAAATGATTCCGATTGCCAAAGGGGGAAGAAAGAGGCCAAGAGCATATGATGAAGCATGGCAGCCAATCAAAGAGACCTGTGGGCCGTTTCACATCTGAGGAGGGGCAGCAGGGATGTTTCTAATCTGGCCACCCATTTGGATGGTTTTCAAAAAGGATTAGAGACGTTCATGGAGGATAAGGCTCCCAAATACTGCTAGTCCTGCTGGCCGTAGGCTCCCGCCAGCATCAGTGCCAGCATGACTGCTGGGAAACACGGGCAGGAGGGTGCTATTGCACACTTGCTTTTAAGAGGGTTCACCCATTTCACCTCTTGTTGTATAATTGACAAAGTAAGAAAACATTCTGTAAAAGTCAGCTATTCCTCATTCTACTTCAAATTCGTGTTTGATATTTTAAAAGTACAGATTAAACATGTCTTGTGCTTTCTTTTCAGGCACAACATAAAAATGTCTACAGATGTTGCCAGACAAGTAGGTGTGTGGCGGCAAACTAGAGCTCTTTTATACAAGAACTACTTGGTGAAATGGAGGACCAAAAAGACTAGCATGCAGGTGAGTTGCAAAGAAGCATCATTTCCTAGCACCTCCTCCTCCTCCTCCTCCTCCTCCTCCTCCTATTTTTAACCTGCCTTTCAAGATGCAAGGACCTCACAAGATGGCTTTCAGTATTACAAGAGATGAATATACAATTATAATTAAACACACAGAGAGAAAATTAGCAGCTAGTGACTTCAGGCTACCAAACATAGCCTGGAACAAGCAAGTTTTTTCTGTTTTTAAAAGATGATGCCATATGCATTGCTCTCTGGAATGAATTCTAATGTTTGCAGCTTCTGTTGAGAATACTTTGTGCCTTGAACCAAGTGTCTCTTGCTAGTGGACAGAAAGTAAGATATTTGATTGTCATCTCATTGAGGCAAGCTCATTGTTGTTCCTGTTATTTGTATTAGTATTATTAACAAATACAGGTATAGGAGATCCTAAACAATTTAAAGCATTAAAGTACTCCTGGCAACTGGTACCACCTTTTGCCTCATAAAGAATGCAGGGTCCAGAAGCCATCCCAGTCTGACTACCTGGTCCTTCAAGGGGAACATCACCCTACCCTTGGTCACTTGCAGTACTTCTGGTTTATCTACATTAATTTCCAGCTGGTTGGCTCTCATGCATTCCAGTTTTGCCTCCAGAGACCCATCCAGGATTTGAGCTTCCTCCGTAGGTGTGAAAGATAAGTAGCGGTGTGTCGCATCCAAATAGTAATGATGCCTCAGCCCAAATTACACTTCTAGATAACTAGGTTCCAGGACCCTGGAGCTCTGGTACTGAATGGTGTCTTAACAGCTAAAATGTTTACCAATGGCAAGAACAATAACAACATCATGGATGCACTGGGAACTGCATTGATTTTTTAAACAGTGCATTTAAATGTTTGGATAAAACATGTTTTATATCTGGCAGTAATCATAGCCCATGATGTAGACTCTCATTTATATTTATGCTTTGCACCAAGGTTGCAGGCCTTCTCCTCTGTGCAGGAGGAGAACTCTTTCTATTTAACACCCCTTTCCGCAACCCTTTTTCATGTAACTTGCTTTTTTCATTTGTGCAGGAAGTTCTGATTCCACTTTCTTTGCTAAGTTTGCTAACAATAATAAGTGTGATACAGCCAAATAAAAGACAAGATGAGGTGCCTGATTCTGTTCTTCATTCTGAGAATCGCTCCAGCATCTCAGAGTTTATTATTGGCTACACACCAGTAAATAATGAGACAAGAAGAATCATGCACAATGCATTTTCCGAATCCTGCATGGAAGGTACTGGAACTTTACTGGTATTCTAACATTGCATAAATTAGTCTTGCCTTATTTTCTTGCATTTCTGGAAGTTGCAGTTGTTGGAGTGGCTGATGGAATATATTCTCTGCAGGAATAGTATTTCTCCTTGGTGTAGACTAAATTATTAAAACCTTTGCCATCTCTTCATGTTTGGTCATAGTAAAATTGAAGAGCAACCAAAGGAGGGATGTAGACACTCTTTAGTGCCTAAAGGTGCGTATGTAAAGCTCATTTTAGCCTGACCTTACATTCACTTGGCTGCCAAGCATGCTAGAAAAGAGCACACCAGTCTGCTTGTTAAGGTTAGTCTTACTGCATTGATGTTAGGCAGCTTCTGATTTCCTTTGCTTTGTTTAGCTTTTTATTTGGATTAAGGATACTTTCTTATAAGTGTTACAAGGTTTATATGACATTTGGTGTGTTGTGCTTTTTCTTTTATTGATATTTTACAGATGTTAGTGTCATTCCTATATTGTATAAGATCTGGAGGTCATCTGTTAGTGGCAGGAAGACTTAGTCAGTGGCACTAGACTGTCAGTGAAGGCTCCTGGTCCACAGCAGAGTGAGCACATTGCTTTTGGGCTACAGCTGCCTGACTTCTGGACCACTGGCCATGCTAGATCTAGGGCTGTAAGACTGTATTCAGTAGGACTGGGGTACAGAAACATCACCTCCCCTTCTTTGCAAATGTAGAGGAATGTCAAGTTCCCTTACAGGAATGATGTGGGCTGTATGGGAGCCCCTGAAGTTATTCCCAATAAACATAATCAGATTCAAAGAACAGTTTTCAACTTGGTTGTGCATTGCAGTGAGGGACTCCCATCTCACTTGCAAAATGAGACATCTTGGTGAACATATATGGGTGAATAGGAACATCTTATTTGCCAGCAAACGACATCAGCTAAAAATGAAGAACTGCACTTCTATCAATACAAGATAAAAGTAATTGGAGTAACTTTGATATTTTGCAGGAAAAGATGCAAGAGAATTTGTGAGTGAGAAAGAAATGGAAGACGCTCGTAATCTTCATAGCTCAGAAAAATTTGTAGGTATAATTTTCAAAGATTCCATGACCTACCATCTCAGAGTTCCTCCCAAACTGGTTCCAGTATCTTCAATCCATGTGGAATCAAAAAGTAAATATAAATAAATACCATATGTTTGCCTCTTGTTTTTAAAAGAGCTAAATATAGAGCTCAGATCTTGCTTAATCTTGGACTATTATGCTCAAGCACTGAAGCAAATTCCACCCCCCAAAAATTCTATGTCAAAACAGCCATACTGTAGGTTGTTCTCTTCCTCTGTGCTCCCAGGCCGCCAGCTGGTATCCCAGGATCCTTGTCTCTCCCTCCCTGCTGAAATTATGGCCCTGTGTCATTCACTGTTTTTGGAGTCATGAACCACCTCCAGACACATTTATTTCTACTGGCGCTTGAGTAATTCAATAATTGCTCATTACCCTTTTTTCAAAAATAGACAATAGACAATTTTGGGCAGCAGGAATGAACAAAACTGAAAGTCATTCACACACACACACACACACACACACACACACACAATGTAGGTGTGCACTGAAACCTGAAATGTGAGGGTTACTGGGACTTACTGGCCAATGTGTATATATTTCTCTATCCAAAAAATGTTCAAATTGGCCGCATACTTCATTTAAAAAAATCTATCTCTTTTGAAAGCTTTCAAAAATAAATGCTTGCAGAAGGGGGATGGGATTTGTTCTCCCCTTTCTGGAGTACCTACAGGTTCAAACAAGTATGAAAAATGTATAGACCACTGAGAACTGTCAGGACAATACTTAAAAACTACAGGGTTACACCACTAAGGGGAAGATAGACTTCCACCCACTTCCATTGTGAAGACCTCTTTGCACCTTTACTTTTCAGTTGACAGCTGTCAGTGGCCATGGGTGCTACTTATTTCTCTGTGACAACAGAAATCTACCTGGAAATTGGCCAGGCAAGGCTTCACAATTCAGGCAGCCATAACTGTGCACTTGCAAGCCTGCAAAAACCACCACCAACAACAAAAAAGGCAATCCCAGCTGCACAAGTTTCTACCAATTACAATTGGCACAAGTATTCCAATTAAGCATTCGCCACAATAACTGGTGCTGGCATGGCTGACAGCAGCAAGGGGTTCTAGCTGTCCTTATTGAGTGCCTTGTGCACAGTTTTCTGCCACCCACAATGGGATCAGCCTCTAAGATTTGCTCCACAAGTTGCATATTATGCCATAATATACAACATGGGAATGACTTACAAGAGCAGGTATTTTTAGGAAGATTAGCTAGCATAAATAGATGATACCTCTTGTCTGTCTGTGTGTGCATGATATGTATTAATCCTGACTTTATGTTTATGATGCTTCTTAGGGCATCTCATAAGTAAAGGCTCATGATACATACACATGTCAGTCTAATACTTTGATCATATTTGTGCAGTACAATCCTTATCCTCAAATACTGGACTATATGACAATGTTTTCTAGAATAATGGTGATGAAATGAGTTACTAAGTTACTGTGTGTAAACCACAAAATCGAATTTAGACCCTGGTCAGCAAGTCAGAAAATGCCTGATTCAGAGATGATCCACATTCAGACACCAAATCTGAATTCCCATTAACTGTCTTACCTGAATTCACAAATAACTATAATTCTGTTGCTGGTTGACGGAACTGGATGTCCACAACCAAAGGTTACCCCTTTGGGGGTAGACTTGAACATCCATCATCCAACATTCTTTAGACTTGGACAACCATCATTTTCTAAGCAAACATCCAATACTACGCTTTCCCAGGCCTAATAGATTACATCAAACCTCCTTTAACATCCATACTCTTGGGAGCGGGAAATAGCAAAGAGCACTTTTCCAGTCCTGGAGTGCATTATTTTAATACCACTATCCCAAAGCACTAATATTGTAGAGAACTGGTGGGATAACTCTCTGTGACAAGCCAAATCCAAAATTCACTCCAATTTTGGCATTAGAATTCATAATGCAGAAATTTAATGCCACCCTAACCCTCATGTTTTGAAATCATTAGCTAGGTAAGTAAGTTCAGGTGTTCATTCTTATGCTTTGAATTCCATAGCCCGTTGTTTAAGCTCTGCCCAGATGTGTGAAGCGACTGTGTATTGGCACAGTGGATTTTCAGCACTGCAGATTTGCCTGGATGCAGGAATTATACAGGTAAATGTAAAAAGAATTGTCAAAAGTCTTGAATTACTATTATTTGAATTATGCTTGAAGTTTTTAAAATTCTGAACCTTTAAGAATTCTAAGAAGATAATTCACATATTTTACTGCATTTCTCAGATTTGTGCAACAGCCTTCCTTCATGACTGTATGCAAAATACATATATGTTTTGATGTAGATCTCAGTACCAGCCTTTAGTTAGACATAAATCCGTTTGTCTCTGTGATGCCATGTACATTAACATTAGTGCTGTGAGTATAAACCCGAAGAGCAGTAGCCCACTGCACCCAAACTAAATTCACTTGTCAGAACTATGGGCTGAGTCCACCACTGGGATATTGCTCTGAGGCTCCCTCTGGTAACAGGAGAGGGTGATCTTTGCCTTTTGCAGCTCCCAGTGCTACTATCCATGCTGTTCTGGAAGGTCCCAAAAACCTGCAAAGCAGATTTTCTGGAGGTGCTGGGGGTGGTGTGAGGAAAGGAAAATTGGCAGAAAAAAATCCACTTCTCCTTCCTTCTCCTTCCCCCAGGGTGACTATCCTGTGAGTGGAGTTCTGCTCATCAAAAACTTTGCACTACTGCCCATGTGAATGCTCTCTGTGACACATGGGTGTTCAAGATAGAAACCACCAGCAATCACCCAGAAAGCAGCCTTAGTCATCTGGACTTTGAATTGGCTAGTGGGAGAGAAACAAGCCCATACATGTCCCCACAGGAACTTCTCAGTGTTCTATTGTCTCACTGCTTGGTCGTTAATAACAGCACCAGTAACTGAATGCTGTCATGTTGTTGCACTCTCAGTATTTTAGACTCTGTAAGTTCATGGATATCTAGCCAAGGCTTTTGATCTTAAATGAGAGATAAGGACAATGTTTCTATAGCAAAAGCCATTCTGTGTTTATGAAATGATTTTACAGGATATTTTTACTGTACAAAAAGTTTGTCCATATCAATTGTTCAAGATTAATTCTCGCCTATATACTAGACACTCCATTTTCCCTTTTTAAAGGGTGGGTTGGCACACTGAACTGGTCTCATCAATGCTCTGCCATATATGTAGAGTGCGATATCAATTTTGGAGAAATGCCGACAGTTGGTGCAACCATGACACAACAAACTGCCATCTGGATAGTTCTTGTGGACAGATCTTGTGGATATTTTGATATATCTTATGGATATTTTTTTTGAAACATGCCTCTTGAGTTTCATAGAGGACAGTTAGATCAAGAATATAAACTAGACAAAGGTGAACGATCGGTATGTACAGGTTTACGGTTTACTTTGGAAATAAAAGTAAATAGCTGCTGCAGGAACATGACAACTTCTTAAAAATGCATCCTTCTTTTTCTTAGTCAAGGACTAACCATTCCATTTTGGGAGAGTTGGAATCAACGAAAGCCGTCATGATGGGAAGGTCTGCTACTGTAGAAATAGATTACTTTTTTCGTGCAGTGATTTTAATTTACCTGGTGATTGCCTTTTCCCCTTTTGGCTATTACTTGACAATCCATATCGTGACGGAGAAAGAGAAGAAGATGAAAGAATTTCTAATCATAATGGGACTTCAAGACATGGCTTTTTGGTATGTGATTCTCTTAGTTCTTTGTTAAGCAAGCAGGATAACTGCCATGCTGTTGTATATGATCGCATTAGGCTATTTTGCATGGAAGATATGTACAATGTCTCACATTCTAAGAGAATGGAAGAAATTCATGGGGAGAGCCTCTTCTGCCTTCATCCCTGGCAACCACCTGTGATCCCCAAGAAGTTGCCGTGCGAGGGGCATGGGGGTGCTTTTAGAAGAAGGGAGAATGATCCCAAATCAGTTGATTTTGGAGATTGCCCTTCGTGGCCTGTCCCACATGGTTCAGTATCCTCCTGATGCTCTGGAAAGGCTTTGTTTGGGTTCAAGTGGCTGCTGGGGAAACATAAATATTAAAGTTAACCCATTGTAGGATCCAAGCCAATCTTTTGGCCAGTGCAAGAGTAGCGTTGTGGAATTTTTGTTTTTGTTCCCTCGCCTCTCTGTGCTTTGCATTTGCTACATCCACTTTGAAAAGGAGCAGGTTTTGTAAGCTGCTTGCAAGGGGCAGGGCCATATTTATCAGGAAATGTGGGAACCTCCATATGCTGCCCAGAGAGGCCAGAACTAAGGTGGGGAGGCCAAGACCTCCGAATACACAGAGGAGCTCTTTAACCTCACAGCAGCAGGAACACACAAGAACATGAGAAGACCCTTGCTGTGTCTCAGGGATGCAGCCTGTGCACCTAACCTATATGTCTTGCTTGTAAGCAGAGTGTTCTCCCACCTAAGTCTGCACTGAGATCCTTGTTTGCATTTATTGCCTTAAATAGATGCATTTATTGCCTTAAAAAAACAAAAAATGAGTTCATGCTTCTGGCTGAGGTTGTCTGCAACCCCTCAAGAGTCTATGTAAGAGCAGGGCTGCAAGGTTTTTGCAGGATTTTCCCTTGGGATTCACTTCTTGACTCTAAATATCTGGAGGATTTTCCCCTGTGCAAACATCATGCTTTGCTTTTAGATGTCCTGGAACATTTGAGTATGTGAGAGAAGTCAAGCCTGAGTTCCCAAATGCCAAAAAAATTCTGCAGGCCACTTTCTGTTTCACAATGTTCATTTATATTACATTGCATTATAGAATTTAAATGTGCACACTATTAATCATGGATGCTACTATGAGTATAACTGCCATAGTATATACCAAAGGAAAAGCAATATTTGGGAATAAAACTTAAGGTTTAGCCATTTTTTATTCATAATGCATGAAACTTCCAGAATGTCCATAAAGGCAACAGCCTTGTTCATTCTCATATACAGAAATTATACCACCTCTGGAAGTGGAGAATTCATTTAGCTATCGTGGCTGAGGTGTTGGTAGCCCTACCCACAATGAGTTTAATTCTTTTTAAAACTGTACAAGTTAAAGAGCATCTTGAGATGGTGAATTTTATAGAAAAGCACACACTGCTTATAGCAGAGCAGAGTCTGAAAAATGTAGAAGAGCAAGAGAATGGTAGGTTAATGTTGCAGATTGTTTTCAGCTTTGGTAGACTGCCTTTGTTATTGATTCATTCAGAAACAGCTTCCCCTATTAAACATTGTGCAGCAATTTGACTAACTCATAAATAAGTTAATAAGGGGATTTCTTGTAGTAATAATATGACATAGTGACTTCATATGGACTGATTGGGCTGATCCTCAAAACTATGGATATATTTCCTATTATAATACTTTCTGTGAAAACATGGGCTCTTGAAGCATATCAGAATTGCTTGCCATGCCGCACCAAACCTTTTACTTCTAATTCATTTCTGTACCACCACTCCATCATTCCACTTTCCATTCATCTTTTTCTTCCAGTTTATTTTCCTCCTCCTCAGCCAGATTAATTTCTTTTCTCTTCCTGTTTTTTCTGTTTATTTACAGATGGAGCAAAATTATTTCCACTGCTCCATCTTCCTTTCCACTCATTCCTTTCCCCAGCCAAATTGGTTCCTCTTGGAACCCTTCTTTCTATAGGTGGCTTGAAATTAATATTTACATCAAACTCTAAATTGCTGCTGTGCTTAAAAAATATTAAATGTTGGGTTGTATCTATGTTAGACAGACTTGGAGTAGATCCATTGAAATCAATGGGGCTGGCAAGAGTGAGTTGGGTTACAGTGCACAGCCTCAGGCAGACTAAGCCACTCTGCAAGTATCTGTCTGCAGGATGCCCAGCTTCGCAGGCTGTATACCAGACAGTAGCTTGTTTGGCTTAAACAAACAAAACAAGACTGGAAGAGGAGCCAAGCACTGCTTTTCATATCACTTTCAAAGTAATTAGTCACTGAGGTCCAATTATCAGGCTTAAAAACAATGCAAAGAACATTAGTGGAGGGCTGGTAATTATTGGGATCATCACAAACATGGAGGTAGAAGTTAATGCCTTCTTCTCCCATTACTTCCTTTACTTCTCTGATGGTTTTATATGGCAAGAAATCTCCCACAATGATTTTCTGAATATGGAAGAATTCTTTTCAATTTGTCTGCCACAATTGACTGGTTCATCATCTCAGGCAAAGTGTGCCTGAGATTAATTACCTTGTCTCATGAGCTCTGAATGAGCGAGCCCAATATTAACTGTCTGTTTTCACCATAAGAAGGAATCTTGTTTCTTCTGGCTTTAGGTTAACTATGCACATTGGGAAATATTGGAAGAATGCAAAATAATTCATTTCAATATGTCTGCTACAGTTCTGTGCTTTCTCAGTTTCAGGGCTATCACTTTGTACAGCATAGAATAATTTTAGCTTCTACTTAGTAGTTTGTTCAAATGACCTTGAAATTGTGAGCCTTCATTGTCTTTTCCTTTTTCTAGGCTATCTTGGGTCCTACTGTACACCAGTCTGATATTTGTCATGTCCCTTCTCATGTCAATCACTGCAACATCTTCTTCGCTTTTCCCCAAAAGTAGCAGCTTTGTGATATTTCTCCTTTTTTTCCTATATGGAGTATCCTCCGTAAGTGTGTGCATATGTGTGTGGGGTGGTTGTCATGGCACTGTGTTTTAGCGTACTTCTCACCACTGACATTGTTACAGAGCATGCCTATGATCTTGATAAGGAGGCAGCTGCTAATAAAGGCAAAACATTGGGGAAACACAGTCACAGTCCCATGTACATTCAGCAAAATGAAACTTTTTCAAACCAGAGGCAGCGCAGAAGCAAATACTTTTCCAGGATCCATTGCAGTTCTGCCACCCCATCAATCCTACTTTTTAAGTAGATAATACTCCCCATATTACATTAGGAAAGCAGTATTTGAAGCAGTTAACACCTCTCACATTACCCATGCAAAGCGGTTAATTCTGCAAAGGATGACTGTAGGGGACACATGAATGTATCCTTGTCTAGAACATCCAAAACATAAACCAGCAATCACAAGGATACCACAGCACTCTGCTCAGTATAGTGTGCCATGGCATAGTGCTCAGATACCCAGTGAATTTGTAGCTAGATACTTCACGGCTTCTTACAAAGAAGGGGCTGGAATTTCTTTGTAGTAGTAAACACAGATGCTGTAAGTCCTCTCTCAATAGAGGGGCTCTATTTATGGTCCTCTCAACCACAGATGACCATAAACAGAATGAAGGACTGGGCTTGCCGTAACAGCAAGCCACATTAAGTGAATACGAAGAACCCACAGATTCCCCATGAGAAGGATTTAAGCTCAACCGAAGAATAACACTCCCTCATGAACCATTATGCATGTGTGAAAGAAGCAAGCTATGTGCAAGAGACAGGACTGCTTTCATAAGGAAGTGTAAGAACTTCCACAGGCTCTGCAGAGGCCCAGCACCAGATTCTGTTTGGTGGTTTGGCAAGAATGGATCTCGAGATGAGAAGCTGAAGATGGCAGTTGGACTGGGGACCAGGGGAATCTGGGTTCTAGTCCCCACTTGGCCTTGAAGCTCACTGGGTGACTTTGGGCCAGTCACTCTTAGACTCACGGGGTTATAGTTGTGAGGATAAAATGGAGCTACGTAAGCTACCTTGGGTTCCTCCCAAGAGGGAAAAAAAGGTAGGATATAATTGCAATGTGATAATGGTAATGATAATTCAAGCCCTTCAGGCCCCGCTATGGAGAAGCATTTAATTGGAGCAACAGTGATGTTTGCTGCCAAAAGTCGGAGGACTAGTGCCAATTCCTCCCACTAGAAAAACTTGCAAGACCCCACACCAAGAGACTTACAGGAGACAATGTGGTGCTTTAGTCAACCGGATGGAATTGCACATGGAACAACCGTATAAATAACTGGCATTTTTGCCCTTGATCCTGTTGCAGTTCCTGCTTTCCACTTTTTGGGGTAGCTCACTAAGGTAGTCTTCCATCCCACATAATGTTGCAGTGGAGTAGCTGCAGACTCATTGCCTTCACTGGTGCATGGTGAGTAGTTATAGATAAGAATTCCATGTGTTTCACATTTTTAAAAGAGCTTACCAACATGGCAGGTATCCTAATAAACAGGATGGCACAATTTTGAGAGCTGAAAATTTCAAATGTGTAAATTAAAATTGTCAGATGAAGCATCAACCATATGTGAGTGTTTATGGCTAACAGTCCTCACTACCACACATGTGCTTGTGCCTCCTTTGTGGAGGATACTGCTAGTACCTGTTGAGGGAAGAAAGTTGATTGACTCTTCATGCAGCTAGTCCTTGTTGCAGGCAGGAATGGAGACAACCACAGAGGCAAATTTCCAACATTAGCTTTCCAGGTCCATGCTGAACCCATGCCCTTTCAGCCATGTCCTTTTAATAGTGGCAGGCTTTACTGCCTGTTTGTTACCTCGATTCTGTACGTCAGCCTTCCCCATTCTGGTGTCCTCCAAATATTTGGGGCTACAACTCCCAGCATTCCTGATAGTTGGCCATACTGGCAGGGGCTGATGGGAACTGAGGTCCCAAGCACTAGGTTGAGGAAAACTGCTGTAAGTATTCTAAGAAAAAACAGCCAGGGCTAATGAGGTGGTTCCATTTTGCACAAATTGCTCTTTTTGCACAAAAGACACCAATCTTGTGTTCCAGCTCTCGAGAAATGTAGGGACAATGATGTAGCACCTGTCATAATGCCACTTACCTCGTCTGAGCTGTTGCTGTTGGCAAGCCATCAGTGGATGAATTAATTGGAGTTCTTCATTGAAGCAGAGGAATGAATGGGGGAGGCAATACTTTTTAACACTTCCTTGAATACAGTGGGAGAGTTTTAGCTTGAATTAGCTTATTTTTTATAATATTGGAGCAGAACTGACCTCCGTCACACCCCCAACTCTGCAAGACTCTACCTGTTATGCCAGCACTGTGCATCTGTTTCTCCTGGCATAATATTACACCTGCACAATCATGGTGCTATACTTTTGAGGAATCAGCTAGTGTATCTCCAGGATCCATTAGTGCAAGTGCATTTAATAACAATCCTATCCTTGTCCAGCCTGCATAAGTCAGGGATATGAGTGTGCTGTTGGATAATTCATTTCTAATGCAATTTTCTCTCTGCTCTGAGTGATAAGCACTTAGATGAGGTCCTGAACAATTATTTATTGCTTGTATCTTTAATGTGAGTGAGTTGATGGCTACTAGTTTCATAATTCCTCCCACACTTCCTCAGTTTTATATCTAACAGTGACACTCACTGTTTCCCTCTTTCTCACTTAAAGCGTGTAGTTTTCCATACTGGCAATGGCAAAGCATGCACTTGCCTCTTGATGACACTCAGTGTTTCTGCTTTATCTGCGTCATGAAGGCCAAACTGGGTGTACCGGGGCATGTATTCATCCTCATCCTTGCCTTGGATGACGATGATATTAAATGATGGTGGAAAATAATATCCTTTACATTAGGAATGGACATTGTGCAACTTGTTGGCTGCATGCAGTTCCTGGAGCCCCCCAATTGTAATAATTGCAATGAATAAATAATAAATAATTGTAATAAATAAAGCAATCAAAGCAACCATTTTGACTTTTAAAAACATTTTTGAGTGCTCTGATGCTGATACAGGTGCTAATTTGTCAATAAAACTTGACTTTTACTTTTTAGATTCTGAGAGGGGTGAGGAAAAATGCCCCTTGGGAAAGCTGGGTATAAAAATGGCCTCAGGCTTTCCCAAATGCTCCACCCATGCTTTACATGAAATGGAGCACATGGAAGGGAAGATGCATGAAACTCACCTGCAATTTTACTGAACTCTGTTGCTTTAACTAACTTTGACACCACCTCCTGATTCTGAGTTGAGCTGGAATAAAATTGTCTTAAAACAATGGAATGCTGTGAGCAAAGGTGGGGAGCCGGCAGAATTTCAGTCACATGCTTCATTTCATGCAAAGAACATAATGTTTAAACCTGGGATAATGTGTGAAAGGAGTAGATGACTGTGCAGCTGTTTTAGTGCATTTGGTTAAGGATATATGAATTGGCCTATTTCAGTTCATGGCACTTCTGCACCTCTTCCGTCCCATCTCTCTTTCTATTTTTCCTATATTGGGCCCATATTTTTAAAAATAACTGCATGAATATTTATGTACTTAAACTGCATGGATTATTTATTTACTTAAACTACTTTTATGCTGCTCAATATCATAAGTCATGCATTTTAACATACTTTCTAAATGCATTATGATACATTCTTTAGTCAAAAAGTGTTATAATATTTGGAAATCTGACAGACAGACTGAAAGACACTTTCTGAACCAGGCATTGGTCCAACTGGCACAAATTAGGTCAATTCACTATTGGAGACTGAAAGTCCTTCTATGCCTTTCTTGGAAAGAACCTGAACCACATCACCTGTTTTTCTTCTTGTAAGCCATCCCGAGATGCTTGTAGTGGACAGCCTATACAGTATAAGCCTAATAAATAAATAAAAAAATAAATAGCCCAACAAGAAAGACCCCCCCCCACCACCCAGTCAAGAAATCCCTAACTATATTGTAACTTTGATAAGGATTTAAATTGTAAACTGCTTTAAGACTCAGTCCTGTCTGAAAAGGCAAAGTATTACATCAGAGGCTGGCTCCTATGAGCACAGTTCAGAATGGCCCTTTGGAACAGTGTGGGTGGTGACACAAGAGGCTGCAGGGGAAGTTGCTTTTTCTCCTTTTCAGCTGGCTTGCCAGCCCTTCATGGAGAAGGGTTATTCTAGATCAAGGTCTTTATCAATAACACAGTGTGTAAGATCTCATTTAGTATAAGGCTCACATTGGGAAGTTTGTGTGTTGGAGCCTGGATGATTAAATAGAGATAATTTTTGAAAAAACTACCTGTTGTTTGTTTTAAAGCTGGATAATTTTAGAGAGTATGCATGTCTTCCTTATGACTTTTTTTCTCATGAACAAAGCTGGAACTGTTCATACTGCATTTGATCACAGGAGATAGCAGTCTTTGGAAAATGTACTTGGTCTAATGACACCAGCAGCTGATGTCTTTCAGCAGTACAGTCTATAACTGAGCTACGTATTTCTTCCCCCACCCCCCGCAATAATTCCTTTTGTAACACACAAAAGCTGCATTTCCAGTCAAGATTTCTTGTGCATTGAAACACAATTTCCATTTCTGTTTAGGTTTCGTTTGCATTTATGTTAACTTCCATTTTTAAGAAGTCAGCACATGCTGGCTCAGCACAGTACTTCACAACCGTGGCCTTTGGTGCTGTGGGTCTGGCCATTGTCCTGTTGGAAGATTTTCCAAGGTCCTTTGTGTGGTCATTAAGCCCTTTGTGTGAGTGCACATTTTTAGTTGGCATTGCACAGGTTAGTAAAGTATCTAATTTTGTTGCTAATTTGTGGGTCAGTGTGATATTCAAATGTTTTATCTCAAAATAGCATCATATGATAAAACCTTGGAGAAATATGCTTTATTTTTATTGATGCCTTTTCCTATGAGTTCTATTAAGATCGAACAGTTACTGGACTAGTGCAAATTAATTTAATCTGATATAATATATAGAGAGCAGAACCATTGTTTAATACTTGTTTATTCCAAATGGCATCTTCTGATAGCATGTGCTTTTGTAGAAAACTTTTATATAGTACATATTCTGTATTATCACCATGAAATGTTATTTAGTTATGTCACCCATAACTGATTCCTGAGTTTGAAATACAGACCTTGGTGATAAATAATATTCAGCATCGGTGCTTGCATAGAAGAGCGTTACAGCGCTTGAATTTATCCTCTGCTTTATCTGTAAATTCAAGCTGCAAATGAACTCCCTCCCTCTCTGTAGGTTTCTGTAGTAGTGACAGGAAGCTTTCTCTTCCCCGCTCTTCCACTCCCCATTTTTCTGGTGTCTGGAATACAGCTGCAATATATTCTGTCCACTAGGAAGCCAGATAATAGTATGGCATGCTAGAGAAATTACATTTCCCAGGGCTCTTTGCACACAATAGCAGCGTACCAGATAAAGGAGGAATTGGGGAGAGAAAGAGAAGTTGGGGAGGGGAGAGAGAAAGTGCCTTGTGCCTTGCTTTTAAAAAGGGAAAATCTATTCTTTGTAGGCTGAAATCATAAACTGTTTATGGAAGAACAAGCAAATAGAATTGAACAGGAGCATGAAAGCAAATGTAAGAACAGTCTGAAATTGGAATGTTTAGGACCAGCCCTATAGAATGGAAGACTTAAAATTTAACCTTTGCAATGTACCTATTACTTAAATACACAAGCTTCTTTCTTGTTGCCATAGCACAGCATCCATCACCAAGTAAGTGACATTGGAAGTTCTTTCCAGCTTCCATAGCCTTTTTTTCAGAAAAAAAAGTAATTCTTCTGAGTCTGCTCTACTTTATCTCATAATTGTTGGTCCCAAACTGAATCCCTCCCATGAGAGTTTATCTGTCTCCACTACTATTATTTTTCAATGACTACCAGTCATTTAGATTTACATGGTGTTCCATTATTTTCCTTGATCATATTTAATCGAAGTAATACTTTTCCATAGCTGTGTAACTTTCTTTTTTGCAGGTCATGCATCTGGAAGATTATGAAGAAGGAGCTGTTTTCTCAAATTTAACTTATGGCCCTTATCCACTAGTTATTACTCTTATACTATTGACCCTTGATAGCATGCTTTATCTACTCCTGGGGGTTTATTTGGATCAGGTGATTCCAGGTATGTTTCATAGTCAAAGAAAGATGCAACACCACCCCGCATCAAGTGCACGGTGGCACATCAAGGTCCCAGTGAATATAAAATGCTACTGCATTTTTCTGGAAGTGCTGTAGTGGAGCCAGGCTCACAGGATACAGAGCAGCCTTCCCACAACTTGGTATGTTCCAGCTGTTTTAAATTACAGCTCCTTGCATTCCTGATCATTGATCATGCTATGCTGGCTTGGACTAGAAACTGAAGTTCAACATGGTCAAGGCTGGAGAAGCCTGTGGTAGAGGCATCCATTTTATAGATTAACTGTAAGGCTCCTTTGTTCATTTATTTATTTATAATGTTGTATCCCATTCTACATCTAAAAAGATTCCAGAGCAGCAGACACTAAGAAGATAAAAGGAATAAATCCCTTCATTAAAATGAACATCACTTTTAAACAGATAAAATAATCCAGGTGATTTAATATTAATGTATAGTGCAACTGTAATCCTCAAAGCTAGCTCATTGGAGGGAGCCAGGAGCCGGCAGCCTTCACCAGCACAGAGCAATCTCACCAGCTCGGAGCCCCATGTGCCTCGGTGGCCCTCTTCTACTACTAGAAGCTCCGTCAATGTAAAACCAGAGCAGCTGGCATTCCCAGCAGTGACAAATGGCAGGATGTCCCCAAATAGGGCATTTCAAGACTAGGATGGGCCAGCCACAGTTGGAACTAGCGCAGTGGAAAAGAAGAAACCTCCCTGTGCCACTCCTCCTGACCCCATTTCATTTAATCATTCACCATTATCATTTAACAGAATCAATATTTACATTTTTTTAAAATCCATAACACCTGACTTTTAAAAAACCACCTTCTATCCACCCTGCCTCTTCTGAAACTGAGCTTATTGTGTCCCTGATCGTTCTGGGTTAGTGGACATTTTACAAGAGTGTCTCACAAAATGGCTGCTGGCCATGCACTTGAAGAATAGCCTCATGAGTGCTCCTTTTTTGGACAGCTGCGTGTATTACTTCAACAGTAAAGCACACTACTAGCATTCTCTTTCCCCCTTTGCCATTCTATGATTTATAACTGCTTCTGTATTCATGCTTTGTTAGAGGAAAATAATTACTTGCTATACCTGATTGCAAGCAAAATAGAAGAAAACAAAATACTCTGAGCACTGTAATTTTGCTTTTTAAGTTCATCTAAAAGATAGCATCATCATCATCACTGTAGGAATAAAATGTAGTTTGTTTTGCTGCCCTACTGCTAAACACATTCACTTGACAGTAAGTTCTATTTCTTCATAGAAAACACATTTTAAAGTTCAAATAATACAGTGATCATCTGTTACTCCATACATGCCTGACTGGCCACCTCTATTGAATATTTTGGAAGGTCAGAAAAAAGAAAGGACTCTGTGGAACAGGGCATTAGCCCTGCCTGTGTTGGCCCAGCAACTGACACCAGCCTTGTTTGCCATTGTCACCAAACCTACTACTTGTTATATGGCCCTTTGTGAGGCCCCTGGATTGCAGGATCCTAGATGCCAGGTTGAGATCCAGCCCCAGCTGCACCACAGTGTCAGATAACTTGATTGCTATGGGCTGGTTTAAACATATTACTGAACCATAGTGAAGCAGAATGAGCCTGGCAATTTCAGGCTTGTGCGCTCCTCTTTCCTTTGGCAACATTGCCATGAGGAGATTAGAATCAGCCGCTTTCTGGGTTTAAATTAGGCAAAGTAACTCATTACATTGGAATTAGAAAGTGCGGTTCATTCAGGAACCATGGTTTGATCCTGGTTTCTTTCAGTAAACCATAGTTTAAACTAACCACAATTTGCTTTTGTTGGATACAAGAACAAAGCACAAGCAGGTTAAAAACAGAAGCAGATGCTTCCTATGCTCTTGAGGTTACATGGGAAGAAGAGAGAGAAATACATGATTACAAGATTATTTTTTGGTTTGTATTGGCCAGGGGAATATGGATTGCGGCGAGATTTTTTCTTCTTTCTGAAGCCCTCATTTTGGATAAAACGAACAAGAAATTATGAAGAGTTGTATGAGAGTGGCATTAGTGGGGGCTTGGAATTCAATGAGATAATTGAGCCTGTATCTCCTGAATTTCAAGGAAAAGAAGTTATCAGGTAAACTTGATTATGCTGTAGTTTGCTCTGGACCACTAATGTCAGTCAATTAATATTTTTGTGTGAAGTATAGCTTTGTTACTTTATTTCATAACTGAGTAATATCTTTTTGCGTATATGTGTGTGTAAGTGAATATGGAAATATAGAGAGAGATAGAGACAGAGAATTGTGCAAAAGAATTGTATGTTTTCATATGTAAATATTATTTGCTGTTGTCCTTTGAAGTGATCTTTATGTCATATCAATGATAGGCAAATAAAAATGTCCTCATTGGGAGAAAGGAAATCCTAAAACCATAGTATCACTGTTGAATTGCCAGACCATAAACATGCATGCAGGAGCTGTTTAAGATGCAGCGCAATAGCCATGTGATTTGTATCAATGCCACTATCTAACCATCTCATCCTCTGCTGTCTCCTCCTTTTGCTTTCAATCTTTCCCAGCATCAGGGTCTTTTCCAGTGAGTCCTTCTTTCTCATTACATGAGCACAGCATTTGAACTTCAGTTTCAGTATCTGTCCTTCTAAGGAGCAGTCAGGGTTGATCTCCTTTAGGTTTGACTGATTTGATCTCTTTGCAGTCCAGGGGACTCTCAAGAGTCTCCTCCAGCACCACAATTTAAGTGTCAGTTCTTCGGCTCTCAGCCTTCCTTATGGTCCAATGCTCACTGGTGAGCGTAGTCATGGGCTAGTTACCCCAACATAGAAACATAGAAACTGAGTGAGTCAGAAGGGGTCTCCTGGGCCATCTAGTCTGCCCCCTGGCTCCAGCCGGCTCTGCTTGTGACATAAATGTACCTAGCTTGCTGAGTTACATAAGTTGCTTCAGATACCTGGATCTGAGGTTGGAGGCAGCACTCTGACCTCAGAGGTGAAAATCTGCAGTCTGTCCCCTCCCGCTCTCTGAGCCTGGGAAGCAACCTCAGAGAGGGGAGGGGGCGTTTTGATGAGCAGGGAGAGGAGGAGACTGGAGAGGCCATGAAAGATCTGGCCCATCTAACAAAAATGTATGATCTGAGGAAGTGGCTGGAAAGACAGTCTCTGCCATTCCTCTAACCCTGTGCAGGATAAGTGTAAGCTTCTGAACTTGGAGGCTTAAAATCATCATACTAGGATTGCATGCTTAGCCTTTCACAGCTGTTGTGGCGCATTCTGTGGCCCACATACATTTCTCAAAAATTTATGCAAAATCAAACTAAGAAATGGCAGTCAAGTTGTATGTTCAGGAAGCGCAGTACATGGTGCTTTCCTTCTGAGGAAGACGTTATGAGGATTGATTAAAACATATGATCCCCACCTACTTTTTGCCCCAGTGGAACAGTACTAATGTGAATGTGTACATTGGCAGTCATTGCAAACTGAAGAGGAATTTAAGTTAATATAAATTAGTGATAGTTGCATATTGTTTCCGTCTATTGTATATGAGAGTTCTGCATTACTTAAAAATATTAACACGTCTTCTTTCAGAATCAGCTGTGTCCATAAATCTTTTGATAAAAAGGGTGAAACAGTGGAGGCTCTGAAAAGTAAGTTTCTGGGAGTTTTCTGTATCTGCTATGAATTAAGACACCAAGTGCTTCTTTTTTATGCAAGTTTCTGACAATCAGAGCTATGGCATAGTATGTGGGAGAATTTCCCTTAATCTTTGCTAATATATTAAGGGCATGCAAGGTAGAGCAAGATCAAATGGCAGATTTCTATCTTCCACGTGTTTAACTATTATAAATATGATTCGAGTTCTGGGGTGGATGGAGGTGCTTTGTTATGACTTCTCTTACCTCTTGTACTCAGGAACCCTTGCCTATAAAAGTGGTCATCTTTATCAAAGACCATGTGTGGCAATGCAGCTAGCTTTAGAATGTTGTGCTAGAATGATTGATCTGTCATTATTCAGAGATGCAGATTTATACTTAGGCATGCAGTTTACCCCAATAAATGTGTAGCATTGTAAAGTGCCATATGTCACTGACTTTGTCCAACGAACAACCAATCTCTAGCTACTCAGACGGGTGAACCTTGGAAATCTAGTAAAAAAGGAAAATAGATCACACAACCATGGAATTATGGAATGCACTCCCTGGAGAAGTGTGCCTGGCGCCGAGTTTATATTATTTTCGGCGCCAGGTTAAAAACTTTTTATTTAATTGCTATTTTAAAAACTAATATTTTATTGTTAACATTCGCTTTTTTGTTTTTGTTTTTTATATAATATTTTATGGAATTTGTTATTGTTTTATTGTTTTTAATTGTATGTTTTGTGAGCCATCCCGAGATGCCAAGGCATGTGGTGACGGCATATAAAAGTTTTAAATAAATAAATAAAATAAACCGTGGAGTCTGCTCACCCTTATATAAAGTCACCTACAGGTTTAGTTATAGTAACCATTCGATGTCATATAAAATGGCGAATGCATTAGTGATGTTTATAGCAATGCTTTCTAACATCGTTCATTCCCACACCATCTACTCCATTCTTCTATTAGGTTTATCCTTTGACATATATGAAGGTCAGATCACGGCATTACTTGGACACAGCGGAACAGGGAAAACAACATTAATGAGCATCCTTTGTGGACTGTGCCCACCTTCTGATGGTAAACGTATTATCAAAATGTGTTGTCTTTGCTGCTGTTTGGTTCTTTTTATTCTGTTTTCTCTTTGCTCTTTGTTTTTATCTTTGAAAATGTTAATGGAATTTCAAGGAAGAGTTATACATGTGGAATAATTTGTCCTGGCCCATAGGAGAATGAGAGCAGTAGCATGTGGCTATTTTTCACTAAATCTGGATATTTCTGCTGTTAGCTATTTTAGTGGTAATATTTTTTTTCTCCCCTCTTTTTATGCATTAGGCTTTGCATCAATATATGGATATAGAGTTTCTGAAATAGATGAAATGCTAGATATAAGAAAGATTTTAGGAGTTTGCCAGCAATTAGATATATATTTTGATGTATTAACAGTGCAAGAGAATCTCTCAGTAATTGCCTCAATTAAAGGTATACCTCCCAATGATATGGTGCAAGAGGTGAGTAAATCAGAAAAAAATATTCACTGAATGTAATGATTTTGATCTAGTAGCATAATCTTACTGCAAATGGATTCTGTACAAGAGCCACAATCTAGCACAGAATTGGGCATGCTTGTGCCCATCCCAATAAAGTTTGTGCTTATGAATCTGTGAGAACAAATGTAAGTGAAACAATTAACATGTTTTATGCTTAAGAAAATGTGGTACAGTTATACCATTATAATTCATACAACTATAATGTATACAACATTTTTTTAGGTAAACGTTTAAACCCCTGAGCGTAATGTATTTTCTTTATTTAGTAGTTGCTCTATAACAGAGAAGCTGGCAAGAGCATAAAGAAATCCTGCCAGGTTCTCCATTTTACCATCACATGAGTCTCCTTTCCAGACCTATCCCATGGCCACACACTTTTTTAAACTCACACATTTAAAAATATGTTTGAGTATTTAACTTTTTATTCTTTATTTAGAAATATCTGTATCTCATTTTTACTTGTTTCCCAGAGCAGCCCACAGCATACCTAAAATGTTATAGAACAATTAAAAATCATACTGTTTCTTAACATTCAGATGAAAACACATTACAAATGTGTTTCTGATGGTCTCTTCACCTCCTCCCTCAATCTCTGGCTCTCTTCTGAGATTTTTCTGTGATGGCCCCATTGGGATGGAGGGGAGAAGTTTTTCTGCATGAAATTTGAAAAAACAACAGAAAGAAAATAGTACAGGTGCACCAACAGAATATCCTGTTTTAAATGTTAGCTAAAATCCTCAAAACAAGGTTTTTACATTTTAAGTTAAAGAGCAATTCTGTCTGCAGAGGGCTGGGGAAAGGTTTTAGATAATGCCCACAATCCTTCACGCTACTGCACACATATTTTAAGTCACCCTGAACCTTCTGTTTTGAGCATTATCAATTTCAGTGTTTCATGCTTTAAATACTACTAATCCCTTTTGTATTATTTTTATAAGATTGAGAAAGTTTTACAAGATTTGGATATGCAACTCATTAAGGACAACCAGGCAAAAAAACTAAGTGGAGGGCAGAAAAGAAAGCTGTCTGTTGCATTTGCAGTTCTTGGAGATCCAAAGGTAAACACCAGAAAGACAGGTGTGTTGTTTGGTCTAATGATAATCTGGAGTTGTTATGCAAGATGTGTCTTACAACTGAGGACTTATTTTCCGAGTATATGTGCTACCAAACACAACAATTCTAGTTTTTAATGTTAAATTATTTACTGCTTGATAGATGTTGAGTGCTGATACTGACCAGAGCAGTCTCTTTTGTTCATTTTTGACAACATGCTTGTTGGTGACTGTGCATCTCTCAGTCCTGAAGATGCAAGAAAAGTGGACAGACCCACTGGGGCAGACTAGCCTAGGGTCCGTAGCCCGGATACACATTCTCCAGGAGCAGTACTACAGCTCAGTTTAAGAGAGGGAATGTCCTTGCTCCTTACTGTATGGTGTGTGTGTGTGTGTGGCCTACGTTTGTATGTAAAACTGCTGCAACTAATGCCATGTGCTTTGTTTATTCACTTGCCTAAGACTGCATTAAGTAAATAGACACATTATATATCTTCATCATTACTTATCAGAACTATGTTAGCAGCTTCATATTTATCTAAAGGAGGCCTGCACAACGTGACAATCCAAAAGGAGGACAGACACTGACTGCAGGAATAAGCAGCAGAGAATATTATCAAAGTGCCGGAGTGATCCATTTATCCCTTCTTGTAACTTAAGTCATAAAGCTTCAGTGTTTGACGCTGGGCTCACTCATCTGTTCTGCTATTGCAAAATATCATGTGCTGCTTGGTGTTGCACTGATCACATATAATGGGGTGGCCAGACTGAGGCTCAAGAGCCACATGCAGCTCTTTGAGTTTATGTAGCATCTTGTCACTCACTGCCCAGAGCCCGTGGGCACCTGCTTGCCACTGCCCACCTACCCTTGCCACCTGTAGGCGCCTGCTTGCTGCTCAGCTCCCACTACTGCCCATGAATGCCTGCTTGCAGCTCTCAGACATCTGACATTTACTGTATGTGGCTCTCCTGTTGAGCAAGTCTGGCCACCCCAACATATTATCTTGATCGCATCGATGTAAGCAGTCTCCCTGCCAAAGAGTGTTCGTACTTGTAAAATGAACTCCTGAGAATTGTTTTCCCTGGCCAATATTTAGGTATTACTCTTAGATGAACCAACTGCTGGCATGGATCCGTGCTCTCGACATACCATATGGAACCTCCTGAAAAACAGAAAGGCCAATCAAGTGACGGTGTTCAGTACCCATTTCATGGACGAAGCAGATATTATCGCTGGCAAGTACAGTCAGGCTTCTGTGTCATACAAGTCGTACACAGCATGAAGGAGGCTGTTTGGTAACACAGCCAGCTTGTTGTTCCTCTGCTTGTGATTGCACTAAGGGGCTCTTCTGCTCTTGTTTCCAGATCGGAAGGCTGTGCTATCCCGAGGAATGCTGAAGTGTCTTGGGTCCTCTCTCTTCCTTAAGACAAAATGGGGAATTGGCTACCGCCTGAGGTATCTTTTAGTAGTCTGCATCCCTATTCCATTCTGCATTTCAGCACCTGTAATTTGTACACCTTTGTTTTAGAAATATTTTCTGAATCATCACAGAACAAATTATCAGGTGAAATACATAAAGATACACAAGACCTGATTAAATGGAACAACGGTAGTTGTAAACCTAATGTAGTTGTAAAACTAATGTCTTAGTTGCTTCATGCCATCTCCACAGCCTCAATATTAGCTACAAAATTAACAGCACAGTATCATGACTGCCACCTCAGAAGGAACTATTCCCAGGAAAACGTGTGAAGGATGGAAGTCTGAATAAAATATTAAATAAAAATTTCCTCTCATCAAACAGAATATATACCTGCTAAAATAGCCACAGAGTATTTAATATGAATAAAATCTCACAGACTTTCTTGTAGTTTAACACTTTTAGGCTATTTTTATACTTGTATTTCTGCATTACTTTAAAGATATACAGCAATTTCCTTATAGAAAGATACAAAGATTACCATCTCACCATTAGCCACAACTATTCACATAGAACACAGATCCTAGTGCGGAATAGCTTTTTTCCATTACACAGACTGCAGCTCAGTGACAGAGCACCTTTTCTGCTTGCAGAAGGTCCCAGTTCAGTCACAGGTGGAGCTGGGCAACACTTCCAGGCAGGGATTCTCCATATAGGGCAGGGTAAGACTATTGTCTGAAATCCCGGAGGCAGAGGCTATAAGCAGTAGCCAGGTGGTGGGCCAATTGGCTGACTCAATATGTGTCCCCATTTACAAAGACTTATTTTATAATAATAATACTTTTCCTTACTGAGATCTAAATATCTGAGTAACTGTAGCTCACCTTCCCAGTTTTCCATCTTTCACATTTGAAGTTTTCTTCAGTTTTAGTTTTTCTTTAGGAAGTTCAACCTCTGCTGGACAGCTGTCCAAATGTGGGCATGTGGAGGTTAATTCTGCAGCAAAGATTTGTTCAAAGCTACCACCTATTATTGAGCATAAAGGCGGAAGAAAATGTGTTCCTATAAAATGCATTGGGATAGCATGCGGAGGGCATGAACAACACTAAGACAGTATGGTCCACTGGCTACAGCAGACACAATCCATGCACAGACTTTGATACAATGTAGGTCTCTTGACTGAGACAGATTTCCCACTCCCCTGATGCTCTTTTCCTGCATGAAGTTCAAACAGGAATTCAGAACATACTTGGAGACACGAAGGAAAAGAGGATTCATGGGAAAATAGCCCCCATAAGTTCTTCCCATTCAAGAAGGGATCTCAGTTCATGCTGTAAGAGTAATCTGAGATAAAACTACTTTAAAATGGCTATGTGATGGTATGCAACAACTCTGATAAAACTGGCAATGGGTTTGTTATAAAGAATGAGCAGGCTCTTGCTGTTTTGTTTTGATTTTTAACCACACTTGATTTTTTTGTGATTGAAGTTCAGGAAAATGGTAATACAACACAGGCTGTGCATATTGTGTCTTTAAACTGGACCCATTCCAAAAGGCCCACTTCTGTTCCTGGATTATGTATCAAAGGAAATACCACCCAGCCCCAGATATTGGAAACTCCATATTAGTGCACCAAAGCCAGAACAGTTAAGAACGTTGTGGGAGGTGCTATATTGCCCGGTGCGCCATGGATGGCAAGACAGGATTGCTCTTGCAAATGAATTTTGGGGCCCTTTTGATACATGCATAATTCTCTTTTTATGTTTGTTAGTGCCTCAAAGTACTTTTGAATGACTTAACCCTGTATAAATATTGACATTAGCTCTTTCTTAATTTTCATACTCTTCCAATTTTTATGCTGGAAAATTATTTTTATTATGGGAAATAATGCTTTTTGGCATGTGGCTTTGTAAATATCTACATGTGTATATATGTGAAAGAAAATTACAATATTTGTAAGAAGCTATAGAATAGCTATTTAGTAGGTTTTTATTGACTACTTTATAAATGCTGTTCTTCAGTTGGATTAAAAATAGAAATGAAATTGTTTATGCTTTTGTTGCTTGCTGTTTCTAAAAATAAGGAAGCCCTCATTGTAAAGAGCAATGCTTATGTATGTGTTTTTTGTATGTATGTGTTTTTTGTTAGCCTGCAAATAGATAGGTACTGTAACACGGAAGGTACAGCATCACTGGTCAAACAGCATATCCCCAGCGCCAGTTTGTTAAAACAGAATGAAGAGCAGCTTTTGTATGCCTTGCCATTTAAAGACATGGACAAATTTTCAGGTATAACTTTCTTTCTCTATTGAACCTCAGTGAAAAACAGGGAGTGGATCATGAAATTTATGAAATTCCAGGAAAGGGAAAAATCCTTTGAGAGGGATAAGTTATATTATGATTTCTACATTTCACATAAATCTGCCTCCTTCCCTTTTGTGAAGAACCAAAGTTGGTTTCCGTGGTCTTCCACTGCATTTTGACTGTACAACAACAGTTGGGCTAAGAGTGAGTGTCTGGTCACTCAGTGATCTTCATGGCTGAGTGGGGGCTAGAATCCAGATATCCTGGGTCCCCAGTACAGCAATCTAAACACCACACTGGCACTAGGCTTTGTTCCTATCATGTTGGAAGGAAAACATTTGGTATCATATGGCATTAAAGCTTGCAGTGTTGTTACAGTCATGGGCAATGCCAGTTGATGTGACCCTCCAGACTTGGAGAATTACAGGCATCCAGTGGAGGAGCCATTCTGCAAAAGACTTACATGGCTGATTTCAACTGTCTCAATCTTTTACTCCAGAGTGCAAGAAGAACTAGCTGGGGTGCCTCCAGGATGCCTTGCACTGTGGTTAGGCCACACCCCTCCCTCTCCCTGTCCCTCCCACAGAACTCCAGCCCAAAGTTGTTGTTCTGATAGCCAGCACAGGAAAGACTGCACTAGCTATGGTGCGGGGGGTGGGGGTGGGGGGGCTCGGACATAAGAGTCTCAGCTTGGACCTTGAAATGCATTTCTGCAGTCAGATCTGGGGTTTTGACTTCACCTGTCTAGCCAGCCATAGGATTGCCCCATGAACCACTCTGATTCTGAAAGCTTTGACATGATCTCATTAAGTAGCAGGAAGAAATAAGAAGGTGTGGTTGCAAAGAAGTGTATTTGCATTTCCGAGCAGTAGTTTTACGACAATTACTACTTTTTCTTCTTTTAGAACTGTTTGCTGATCTAGACACTCATTCCTATTTGGGTGTTATTTCGTATGGGGTTTCTATGACAACCTTGGAGGATGTGTTCCTCAGGCTCGAAGTTGAGGGAAACATTGACCAAGCAGGTGAGAAGTAGCCACAGAGTTTCCTGCAGTGTTTGGTATCATACAATAATCATGCATTACTAAAATTGCAGTTCAATGCATGCAATACTGTTTGTAATTTGGGAACATTGTATGGGGACATATTTTTCTGAAATCTTTAGAATGGGAGACAATTAAACATGTACTCATAAGCACTTCCTAATGAGTATGACCTATTGGAAGACTATATTTATGAGGATTATGCTATAAGGCTTTATACAGCTTCCTGGTGGTTATGGTATTATTATTGTCATTAAGCCCTTCAGCTGGCATTGTTTTATTCCCCACTTTAACCATGTCACCTCACTGACTTGCTCCTGAATACAACTGACAACAGGTGTGCGAAAATATTGTATATCCTACACGGTAGCCAGACACACTTAATTTAGGCTGTAATGTTTGACCTACTTGCTTGGAAATAAGCCCCACTGAAAGCAAAGGGACTCCTAACTGGGTAGACGTGTACAGGATTGTACTGTTAGTGTGTCATTGATCATTGCAGGAAACAAGAGAACACACTTTATACAGCAATGATCTGGTCAGAAGGGGGAGCTTCTAAATTCTCAGATGGGTTTTCCTCTCTTTCCCAGATTTCAGTGTTTTTAATGCTGAGCAGGGCGAAGAGGAAATGGATCGAAAATCTGTTGATGAGTTAGAGCAGAGCCTACTCACCTTATCTGAAACACGGTCTTGCATAGTGAGCAGCAAGGCCCTGTGGAAAAAGCAGGCCATTACGATGGCAAAGGCTCATTTTCTGAGCTTCAAACGTGACAAAAAATCCATGTCAGAGGTGTAAGTATATGTGGGCTTGCCCAGAATTCTGGAAGGAAGTTTATTGAATGTGAGAAATAGAAACGGATGCAGGTTTTAGCAGCTGATCATGTATAATTTTCCAGAAAAGTAAGACTTCTCCATTTAGGACAACACTTTAATAGTTGGAGATAAGGAGACTCCAAACATATCAGAGCTCAAACGGTGAACTTGATGCCACTGGAAAGTCTAGTGAGTCCAGGGGATTGGAGGGGCTCTGTATATTACTAGCTGGGGGTGATTACTTTTCCTTTTACACTTATTTAAATACATTTCACATTCAGGGACATGATCCAATTTCCACAGGAGCAGCATTTGTTTGTAAAGGAACTGCTGTAGGCTGCAAATCTCTGCTCCTTCACCTACTTGCACATGTGCTGGGGGAGCGTAGCATGGAGGGGGAGGAGCGATGGCTTCCATGGTGGAAGTGGAGCTGAACTAGAGGCTGAACACAGCTGTGTTCTCCCATGAGTTTTGGTTTGTTAGCAAATTTTCAGATGCAAGGGCACACATGCCCCATTTTCCCCCTTTGGAGTGCATTGACCACATAGGCATTTAGGCCGGTTCATATTTATTTGGTCTTTTCTTCTTCTGACTAGTGACTAGATTGCAGCCAGTTTCTAGAAGATCCCCCAGTGTATCCATTGAGGGGATTCTTGCAAGGAAAGTTCAAAGAGGTGAAACTGGCAGCAGTCCCACAAGATCCTTCTTTTGTTATGCAGGATCACTTAGTACAGGCTAATTATGATTTAAGTGATGCTCAGTGCATGCTGGTGTTTAGTAAGTTGAATGCAGATGGGTGGACCATCACATTTCTGGGAAAAAAGATAATGCAAGAAAGACTGACATCTGCCCACTCATCCTCTCAAGGGCAGGCATTAGTATTTACTGCCATTTGGATGAGCTTTACTTCTGCTTCTTTTTCTTTCAGGTTCTTGCTATTCATAATATTTCTTGGAGTTGAGATGTTTATGTTTCATATGTATCAGCTATACTTTAAAAGTGCTTCAGCCCCTGTCAAACTCTCTCCAGACTTATACTTCCTTAAACCAAATGAAACTCATCATAAGTACAAAACCAGTCTCCTCATTCAAAACTTCACTGGTGAGAAATGTACCCCACCCACAGTTACACTTTAATTTCAGTTGAATTGTTTTTATTTATGTCAAGATCTAGTATTTTCATCTTTTTTGGTACATGTAGCTGGGTGCAGGTGTCCTCTGCATTCATTGAGGTTTAAGAATGGCTAGTGAATCACAGAAGGAGCTCTATCCTCTTAAAAATGTGTTTTTCCCATTCATTCACAAATTGAATGAAAACTCTAGTGCATGATTCTCATATGAATCCAGCCAACTTACTGGGACGTAGACTTCAAAATTCATGTTAATTGGTTTGATTTCTGAATAGCAGAAGACTTAAACCAATGTGGCATTAGGCCAAAGTATATATTGTGTATATATAATGGATGTTTTCTTGATAAGCAACAAATGTTTTAACAGTAAAATACACTAATCATAGTAAGAAGTGACTAGCAATGTTTAAGTCAGACTAAGCCTGAACTGCTGTCATGTTTCTTCTCCATCTCCACTTTTCCAAAAACCTTATCATCACATTTTCAGGCTCTGGACTGCTTGTGGGTTGCACATAGTGGGTTGCACTTCATGGGAGCAGTGAGAAAACATGCACAGAGCTGTCTTTGGCATAACAGGGAATTGGGCAGCCTTGTACAGATATTGAATTTTGTACGCACACACACACACTGAAGTCCATTTTTCTGCCAACCATGTCCCTTTTCGGAGTAACCTGAAAACAGTAGTGCATGCACTGGTAACTGCTAGGCTTAGTTTCTGCAGTGTGTTTTATATAGGCCCACCCTTGTGCTCCAGAAACTGCAGCTAGTGCAAAGATGGCAGCCAGGTTGGTGTCTTGGCTATCACACAGAAACCATAACTCTTGGACATTAAAGTCTCTGCACCAGCTGACAATACTTTTCTGGACTCAGTACAAAGGAGCCCTTTTGGCTCAGGCCCAACATGCCTTCAGGAACACCTTAGCCCTTGTTATGGTCCTCTGAGGATAATCTTCCGAAGCATCCCTCTGTAAGAGTAATGTCTACCATCCAGAGGATGCCCTCAGAGGTTGCCGCTAAACTACGGAATCGTTGTGGGCGCCGACTCAGAGGAGTCGTTGGTGCCCGTAGGAGGCTTCCCGTGAGAACCAGGGCTCAGTGCAGGAACACGTGTACCTGGTGCCCATTGTACAAATGCCCCCCCATTCCTTGACGAAGTGTTTCAAAGAGAAGAAGAAGATGCCTCCTGCTCCCCTACGTGCACCAATGACTCCTCTGAGTCGGCGCGCACGACAGGAATGGTCTGTCAGGAGAGGTACATCTGCTATCCCAGATTGCTACTTTCAACAGGGAGTTAAAGACATGTCTCTTTGACAGGACTTCCCAGATTAGTTTTATTTAATATGCATGTTTTAGTTGATACTTTAACTATTGTTTGTTTTAGCTCTTGTAGCCTATAAAATGCCCATGAGAATGGGGTGGTATATAAAAATTACAGTGAATGAATGCATAAAATCTGTAGATGAGTCTTTGCAGCTGGAATACTGACGTGGTAACTTTCCTCATTGTCTTAACTTAGGATCAGACATTGATGACATCATCCACTCTCTTAGGAACCACAGTATACTGACAGAAACATTCAATGGCAGCAACTATCTTTCTGTTGCACCCCACAGTGCGGCGTTAAATGTATCTTGTGCAGGCCAGGTGAGGAAGTGGTGCAGGTTGTATTTAACTGTTGGTCCTGTCTAGATGTGCACTATGGGTCATAGATGTTAAGGCATAAGGAATGGGTTGAGGGCCATGGATATTGTTGTGGGGTATTCATCTTGAACTGGAGAAGGAAGGGCAGAGTGGTGATGAGCTCACCTTAGCAACAAGGTGGCAGGACTACCTCCCCCCCCCCGCCCCCCTAGTCCCTGCTGACAATAATAGCAAGAGCGGTTCTCACAGAGCATTCCTTGATGGGATGGCTGCCATCTTCTTTCCCCCAGACTGTCTCTGGTGTGGGCTTAGTGATGTTGCATCCTGAGGAAATTGCCCGGAGGAAAGGTGCATTGGCACTTGGTGCTTATATGGGATGGCCCCTTTCATGGGGTGGCAAGCAGGGAGTTGTGCCCTTCCCACCAGGCCTGCCTGCTGTCCGCTTTCCCCAGTGACCACCATGCCTCCCGCCTCCCTTCTTAGACCATTGCTGAGGCTGCCACAGCCGTTCAGAAGTGAGTGGTTTGGCAAAGGGATGAATGGGCTGGGCCGGGCCAGGCAGGGACAAGGAGACAGATGCAGGAGGGGAGGAGATGGAAACAACAAGCAAGCAAAGAGGGAGGGAGGGAGGGAGCCATGGGGCGGCCATGGTGGGCAGTGGCCATTGCTTTCTCAGATAGGGGAAAGCTTTCTCTGGGCTGTATTGATAGCTAATACATGGATTTTATTGTTGCAGAGCTACAGCTTTACAGTTGCTTTTAACCGTACCATGGTACATTCTTTGCCCGTCATGATGAATATTGTTAGTAACCTCTACCTGCAGAATTTAAATGTAACTGGAAATATTCTAGTGTGGAGTAGTGCTTTCTTTCATGTAAGTAAATAGAAAAGCCAAAGGCCATTTATGTAAAATGAACTGATGTGCAGCTGTGTAGACCGTTTTTTTCTCTCTGTATACATACTAATTCTAGATAACTTTTAATTTGCATGCTTTGGAGGTAGTGATAGAATCAATCTCCCTGTTTAACCTTCTACAGTTTCCACAGTTTTTGAAGAACATGTTCATTCCATCCTTTTTCTCATCAGTTTGTGAATTTTGAGGTGTGGATACTACACAAACATTTATACACATTTTCATATGTATTTTCCTAATATGCATTTTCCCACAATCTGTACTTTTTTGTATACAATTTTCAGTAATGACATGCTTTATGTGCATTTTTGATCAGAGAATCACTGTGCAAACTTCACTGAAGTGTTGAATTTTTTCTGATTCATGTATTAGTTCTCGAACTGCAAATTAGATGGGTGTGCATTAAAATTTGAACCAAACTTCCTTCTCATTTCTAATTCAGGAGTGGCCCACAAAAATTTACCTTGGCCTCTAAACTCCCATCATATTGCAAGCATGCCCTGTTTTACAGTCTTACGCAGGCAGCAAAAACAGGCCTATGAATATCGAGTCATGTTTCACTGTTACTCTTTTTTCATTTTCTAATATTGCTGTCTTCTGTTACTTTGCAGAACGTTACTGGCAGGGGTTTCATAATGGTACTGGTTTTTCAAAGTTTGACATTAGGAGTTACAATAACTGGGATGCCATCCTATTTTGCCATGGAGAATGCAGAAAATCACAGGGTAACTTTTTGAAAAAAATATGTCCTGTATTGATCTCTTACTTTATTGCAACAGTCATGAGCAGCTTATTTAGCGCTGCTGGTCCCACTGAGAAAACACATCAATCCTGAGCACTGTGGCTAATTTGAGTAGTTCTAAATTGTATGTCATACTGTAGTAAAGATACCATGTTGAACTATGTTTTTATCTGCTGAATGTAACTGACCAGACATAAGTCGGCTGTTGTTGGCCAGATACCTTAGTTTCTGTGGACTCCTTATGAGACAGGGTGGGAGAAATCTATCAGTCAGATAAATCTGGCTCAGGACCTTGGTCTGAGTCTGACCCTGTGGCAAATATAAAATTTTCTGGCTATTTTTTATGTTCATTTTATAACGGATCTTGAGTCACATTCCTCTTTCTTACTCAACTACTCCCTTACTTCCAACTATCACCCAAGATAGCCATCACTTTTCCTTCCCAGGACATCCCTGCCTCCTAATTCTCTTAATTTAAAGCTGCAGCTCACTTGTGTGCTTCTGTTAAAGTTGAGGAAGGTATCGCAACAAAATTGCTTATCAGACTTCCATATTCTCTATATATGCTATAGCTGATGTTCCTGATATTCTTTACCTTATGTAGTTATCAGAAGTATAATGTGTTGATAACATCACTGTAAGCCTTTCCTTACTGAAGCAAGCAAACAAAATGGCATAAAATTATTACTTTAAAAGCAAATATAAGTTATTTTTCTCTGAACTTTCAAATGCAAATTCAGGTGTTTTTGCTGTTAGCTAATTGAGTTTGTTTTCTATTTTTTTAAAGTTATGAACAGTCCTTCATCCACAAGAACAGTATGCTCATTTCTTTTTTAAAAAGCAAAAAAATAAAAAACTATATGGTTACAAATTAAAAAATAGTAACTTTTCAACCAGCAATCCAAGTAAAAATGAAGCAGTTAGGTATAACAATTAAATTAATTCATTTTTAATTAAATTTGTTAAATTTTAGTTTGTCAGTTTATTTTAGTTTAATACATTGCTGGGTACAAGGAAAATCTGCACGGATTGCTTCCCTTCCCCCTTACTTTGGGAATTTAGGATGCTGGCATAAGAACATTTGATTTGTTGCCATTTGCTGTAATTGGCATGTGTTTTAATTAACATACCATTGTACTTTTGCAGATGAAAGCCTACACTCAACTTAAGATCTCAGGTCTTTATCCATCTGCTTACTGGTGTGGACAAGCACTAGTTGACATTCCTTTATATTCCATTATTCTCTTTCTGATGACAGGAATCTTGTTTGTAGTTCATCATGAAATTAATTTTTCTTCTGCTGAATTTATTGCTGTGGTAAGCTCTGCTTTAACTAAGTTTTCTGTTCCTTGCTTGCCATATCGCTGTGACCTCAGTAACAAACATCCAAAACTTCATATACTCCAGCAGTCCGTAATTTTAGTTTCCATCCCTGGTAAATAATTCTCCCTGTTTTGTTTCTATTTTTGTGACTTGGGTATATATGGAGTTTGGGTCCAACCCTCACATTAGTAGAAATCCACTTGCATGGTGAGATTTCCCTATCTTTGCCTCCTTCTTGAAGCCACCTGAATGCTTCCCCAGTCAATTCAGGAGGGTTTAGGGAGGACCTCAAAAACCATTTTCAGATCTGTTGTTCCTTCAGTGCTGCTATCTGTATGTAGAGAAGCACAGTGAGAAAGAAAGAACCCGTTGTAAAAATGTTACATATCTTAATGAAAAATCTCAGTGTTGCAGCTCCTTTCTCACATTGCTGAGCAACTTGTTTCGTGTGCATATTTAGTGTTTGAACATCAAGTATTTCTTTATCTATTGCAAAGATTGGATAACCAGCTCTTAGCCCAGAGTCTCTTAGAGCATGTCCCACAACAGCAAAACAGCAAACACATACCACACAACTACTAAAAGTCACAGCTCTTAAAAATTAATAAATTTGCTATGAGCAAACTAGGGGGCAGCTTGCCTTTTCAGATGCTGGTGGAAGTATGTTTTTATACAAATAGAACAGTTGTGTTTTTCCAGACTCTCCTTACCTGGAGCATCCTCTTAGCTTTTAAATCTAACAGCTCTCTTTTCAGAATCAGCCGTATAAAACCCATCCATGCAGTGATAAAATCCTTACATCAGCCTTGCTGGTCCCATGTGCAGTTGCCCACCCTGTAGTAGCTGCAGTGTTTGGTCTGGTTTCAACTCCTTTTCCTGCAGTGGTGTGCGTAGTCTAATGCATTAGGCTCCATGGAGCCCTACAGGAATTCCCTCCCCCAGGAAAGGGCATGAATTGTGCACCATGTTTCGAATCTCTGTGGGATGCATGTTTCAAATAACAATATGCATTTTTTCCCTGCAGGTTTTCTGCCTTATCGGCTATATACCTTCTGTAATCCTGTTCCATTATGTTGTTTCTTTCACTTTTAAAACCATACGAAATACCAAAGAATTTTGGTCATTCATTTTTTCAACTGTAAGTAAACGTTCAGTGCTTCATTGATGTTACCATTTACTAAAATGTGTATTCATTCATTTTTCCAGAAATATTGTCTCAACTTTATTTTTCTGCATTTGGCTTAATCCTCCTTCTGCCTGGGTTACATCCATGGCATTGTTTGCAGAATCAGTGCCCTGTCTGCAAAACTATAAGTCAAGCACAATAGTTCCTGTTATTCCTGACAGTGCATTTCTCTTCCATAGATAACTGCTTATCTCCAAGCAAAACCCACTGTTCTAACTGCTTGGCTTCGAATTAAGTAGCCTCAAGTTTACCTCTCCATATATTAGTATAGGAAAATAAAATTCCCAGGTACGTAAGGAAGGTTTCTGGCTTGATATTGCCATTAATGTGTTATTTTTATTCTTTTTCTATTTCAGGTAGCCTTGATTTGTATAATCATTTCAGATGTAGCTTTTAGTCAGTGGCCTGCGATAGCTGTTATAATTCACACTTGTTTTTGTATCTTCATTCCAATCTACCCTCTGATTGGGTGTCTGATTTCTGTTATAGAGGTAAGTTTGCAGGGCTGATACAGAGGTAAGGTTGTTTGTTTGTTTGTTTATACTTGCATCAGCTTCCTCTGCTTGATTTTGACTTTTTTTTTGTTTTATGATGGCCATCTTGGTGAGCTCATTACAGCTGTGATATTCTTCAACTGTAATGTTAAAGCCTCCTCCAGAGCCTCTCCTGTGTTTTTCAACCATATTACATTCTTTTGGAGCAAGAATAGTCTGGTGTTAAATTTTAAGTGGCAACAAATCAGAACAAAAGCGTCATGAGAAGTTGCGAATCCACTATACTGAAGTTATACCACAGTGCCTTATGTTTGGTTAACAGAATACATAGAAAGGCAGAGAAATAGAAACAAGAAATCCCATGTAAAGGAGCATTTTTCCTGCCACCATGAAAATGGGAGAAGATGCCTCAGTGAATCAGCAGGTTTAAACCCTTAATAGCCATCATTATTTGCTTTTCAGCGCCAGGCCAAGACATTTTTATTTAAACGTCATTTTAATTGTTGATTTAACAACTTTGGCCAGGATGTCTCCAACTGTATTTTATTGTATTGATGATATTTATTTATTTGTAAGCCTCCTCGAGGCTTAGGTGAATGGGGTGGCATATAAGACAGCTAAATAAATAAATAATAAAATAATAAATGTAGAGAAGGTTGTGGACTACAGCACCTAGGTAAGAGAAAGCCAGACCAGGGGTTAAGCCCCTGTTGAACTCCTGATGTCAATGGAAGCCCAAGAATGCCGAATGTGGTTGGAATTGGCCAAGATCAGAGCTGGAAGGGAGTTGCTCAATTTCCCAAGCACAATTCCCAATCAAAGCAGGTAGGGGGTCTCCCAACACCGTAAAGCAATGGGAGAAGCACAGGAAGACATTTTATGAATTTTAATGGTACAATTTAACTTAATTGCCTGTAATAATCATGAAAACTATTTTTGAAATAAGTATGTGCTGTCTTGATAGGTAGCCAAGATGCTTGGTCAAAACAAGGAAAGGAGTACAGAAAGACTGCTGGTTTCTGTAGTTGTGGTAAGGAAATGAATTCTGGAGACTAGCCCCCTGGATCTAGTTTTGCCGTGTTTTGTGCCGTGGACTGTATGGTGTCTGATTTGTGCAAGACTATCCTATTCTTGCACCACGTGTTTTAAAGGATTGGTGTAATGCAGTACAGTAACAAACAGTAGTGCAGTTTACAGACAGATACGGATCACCAAATCATGAAACCTAAGCGATACCGTCATTCCAACTGTACATGTACGGCATTCCTGGGTGTTATGTTTGGGGTTAATTCAGGCTAAGCTTGGGGCAGGAGAAAACCTGCATCCCTGTGTATGTTCAGGGGCCTTCAGCTAGTACAGTGAGTAGTCAAAAGGACTCTCTTGAGGGCTGCCTTTGATAGGGAATATGCCTAGCTGTTAGGCTTTGAGTGGAACATCCAGCTTCGGGTTAGTAAAACCTGGGTCCCTGTACATATTCAGGGACCTGGAGCTAGCCACCATGGTGCAAGCAAGGTGAACAGTCAACAAGGGTTATGCAAAGGACAGGATAAAAGTGTTTTAAATAAATAATAACACCCTGAGAACTTCTTTTGTGTGCCTTGTATGAATGCCTAAGAATTCTGCATGGGTTTAGGGCTTGGGTTAATTTTCAGGGTAGGGTTGGATTTACAAAGCCTCAGTCCTTCTGCATGTTCAGGGGCCTGGAACTTTTGATTGGTCAAGCAGCACCAGTGGCCAACACAAACACTCTGAATGCTCCCTTTTGAATGTTGTGTGAATGTGTATGGATTATAAATGAGTGCTAGGGTTGGGGTTAAGGTTCAGGTTAGGGTTATGGCAGAGAAAACCTGGGTCCTGTGCATGTTCATCACATTCCAGTGGGCAAGCAAGCTGAGTTGTCTACAAGGGCACCCTGAGTTTGTGCATGTTCTTGAAATGTTCAAGGGTTATGCATGAGTATTTGTAACCCAGTGAAAAAACAGGAACTAGGGATGTGCTGAGCCTCTCCAGAACCCAGTTCACGCCTGCCCATCAGACTTCTGGTGCTCATCCCTCTCTATAAGTATTCACGGACCCCTGGTTGTACAACGAGAAACCTTTCCCAGAGGCCAAGTTCCCTCCCTGCTCATTGCTGGCGATGGGAAAAAGGGTACAGCACAGCAGCCAGCCTTCCTCCCTGCTCACTGCTGCTGGCGGCAGCAGGCAGGAGAAAGGGGTGCCGTGAGCATGTGCATTCCAGTCGCCATTTCCAGCAGCCAACTGTGGCTCTGCTTGTGTAGTGCTCAGTTCCTGGTGAATGTCCCGCGAAACCTGATCGTGCTCACTAGGAACTCAGAACCTGGGATGCTGCAAAGTAGAGTCCAGGAAGACAAAACCCAGGAACCTAACAGTTTTCCTCACACATGCTTGACTTGGATTGTACCTGGGTGTTAGAGTGGAGGTTAAGCTTCTTGTTAGGGTTTGAGTCAGGACATCCTGGATCCAGCCTGGAACTAGGCTCAGTTGGGCAGAAAGAGTGAGTGGTCAAAAAGAGCACTCTCACTGATTCCTCCATGCATGTTGTCACAATGCCTGAGTGTTACGTTTGGGGTTACTCTTAAGGTTAAAGTTAAGGATGGGGTTAGGAAAGCTGACACCTTGTGCTAATGAAATGTTCACAAGCAACCACATGACAAACATGTGGTCTAGCATGATTTACACAGTCGTCTGGTTTACATAAAATAAACCAGTGTGTATTTGACTTTTGCAAATTGAGATTTGATTTGTACAATCAACTGTTTCTGCACGAATTGCACAAGAGCCAAAATGGTTTCAGGAAATTTATTTGCAGCAATTTCATTGTCAGTTTTTAAAAAATGTTCCAGCCTAGAGAAGGAAGTCTGCGACCTGGCTGAACTTGTACCACAGCCGGTCAGAGCCCAGCAGACTGGAATCCGGGAGGCTGAACTGTGGACATTTAATGGATTTTCACCACTCAGTCAGATTCTTCACACATTCCTGTTTTGCAATAGTGTGTCTGCCTGACAACACCTTAGTATCATAAGTACACTGCTTGCATCATCTGTTGGAAAATAAATTTTGTACCTGCGTAGCAGTTGTCATTCCCTGTTCTAGCATCTATTTTCAGGTTCTTCTCAATTTGTACTTATTTGCACACGTAATCGGTAAATGAGTGAAGTTGTTTCAATCTACTTTTCCTTTTCTTCGTTTTAGCCTTATTTGCAGTGTGTAATTTGGCTCTTCCTTCTACGCTATCTTGAAATGAAGTATGGAGGCAAATCAATGAGACAGGACCCATTTTTCAGGTTGGTGTGCCCGAATTTTCCTTTGAAAGATCAGTGCTGACATTAGTGTACCAGGTCAGGGTTTGCCAACAGCAAACTATAATGATGATGTTTGTAACAGACATCTCTTCATCCATGGAGCTGGACAAGCCAATCTTAAGGGATTTTCTTGGGAGCGCTCAGGTGGTCATTTAGAAAACAACATGCAATCCAAAAGTATGCCCAAGCATCCCTTGTAAAGCCAACCTTTCTGATGCTATTGGCATCTCAATCACATTAAATGGATTCTTGAGACTCATCTCTTGATGCAACTTGCTGGAATGGCAAAATATTTGAACTGTAAGTTGCTCTGTAGCCCTGGCAGCATTCCATGCAGGAACTATTAAGTGATCCAAGTTAATTATTCTTTAAAGTGGCCATTTTAATGGTGACTGTTATCTATAACATGTGTATATTTTAACAGGTTGAATCTAGAAAGCACAGTAAAGCCTTAAATAGGAAAATCACATGGCAAATTAATATTTGGGGTCTGATGTATATTGAGTACAAATCTGACCCATCTGTATATGCCTAGAATTTATGTGTAATGAAATTAAGATGTGTGTGTGTCTGCACACATGCACGTACGTGCGCATATGGGACAGAAAACCATAGTACTGCCCTAGAACCATTGAGGGCACTTTTCAAAATATATACTTGTCAAACTGGAAAGGATCTGAAGCTCATTTAAATTAACTTCTTATACTGAAAATCATGAGAGCGGTTTGCCACATCTAAATGGCAATTAATAATGTGCTCTTTATTTATTTATTAAATGCTTTTGTATGCTGTCCTGTTATTCAAAATCTCAGGACATCTTACAGTATTTAAAAGAACAATTAAAACAACTATGTCTGATAAATAATAAAACCAAAACAAACAATAAATCACAAAGCAAGAGAGCAACTAAAGGTTAAAAGTTATTAAATTTTAAAATATTGTTTAAATAAAAAGGTTTTGGCCAGGGGCCGAAAAGACTATAAACTTGGTGCCAGGCGTACCTCTCAGGCATACATTCCAGAGTCTGGGCACCACAGCAGAGAAGGCCCTTCTCTGAGTTGATGACCTTTTTACCTCTCTTAGAGAGGGTTCCCAGAGCAGGGCTTTTCCTGCAGATCTTAAGGGCCATGACAGTGTATAAGGAAGGAAACATTCCTTCAGCTATTCTGGTCCAAAGCTGTTTAGGGCTTTATAGGTCAAAACCAGCACCTTGGAATTGGGCCCGGACTTCAATTGGAAGCCAGTGGAGCTGGTAGAGGACTTGTGAGAGTAACGGCCGGTCCCTGTCAGCAGTCTGGCAGCTCTATTCTGTACCAGTTGCAGTCTCCGGACCATTTTCAAGGACAGCCCCACGTAGAACGCGCTGCAGTAATCCAAGCGGGAAGTTACCAGAGCATGTATCAGTGTAGCTAGAAGATATTTCCAGAATAGGTCAGGATGGATGTTCTCAAACTATCCATTGACATAAAATGTTTCTCAGGATTTTTTTCCCATTCCCACTCTCCCACCCTGCACTGCCAGAGATACTCTGTCTTCTAGAGAACAGTCTCCACATCCCATCTTTCACCTGCCATCTCACTGCTTGGTCAATTCTTGAATGCTGCAGATTAATTTATGCTGCTACATGTGCAAAATCAATTTGGGATTTTATTTGAGAGTATTATTTTATGACTTTAATACATCCAGGTATTTACTTTATTTACTCTAATAGGAACACTAAGCCATCCTTGCCCACTCGTTTGTCCTCTCCCATCTGGCAAAATAGCCCTCCTGGCTGCGGTAGGCTGAGAGAGCAGCAGCTCTTTCGGTTGCCCCTTGGAGGGCTCAAGGCTTAGCAGGGAGGCAGAAAGTTGTTCTGCTCTTCCCTCAGTGGTGGGTGACCCTGGAAATCCCAGGACTTAGGAGCCCCCTGCAGTTACCTGTGTGGAGCCATTTACTTGAAGGCAGCTCCAGCTCACTGCCCAAGCAGCCTTGCCCAAGGGTGCATCACACAGAGGAACCCTGGCAGGCCTCCAGCAGTAGAGCGGTGCAGTTTCCATGGTCCGGCCTTCTGGCCAGGCAGATTTGCTTTCCCCTTGTGGCTGCATCTGTTCAGAGCAGAAATGCGACCTGTTTCCCCATCCTCAGAACTCCTGTGAAACTCAAGCCCTGGAAATTTCCAGAAGTGCCGCATGATGAGGATGAGGATGAAGACGTGATGGCCGAGAGGCTGCGGGTTAAAGAGATGACAACCTGCCAGAGCTGTGAGGAGGTAAATCACTCCCCTTTGTCTTCGTGCTCAGAATCTCTCTGGCGCCAGATCCTGTTATGAAGGAACGGGCACAAGGGGTGGTTTGCCTGGCCCCGTGGGCACTGGCATTGCTATACAGAGGTGCAGGCCAGCGCATGGGGAGGGCACCAGGTTGGGGAGGGCTCATGCAGAAAGCCTCAAAATACAGTGGTACCTTGGCTCACGAACTTAATCTGTTCCACGACTCTGGTCCCGACCCAAATTGGTTGTGAGCCAAGTCAAATTCCCCATAAGGTTTAATGTAAATACAGTTAATCCATTCTGTAGCCATTTTTTAATCACAAAAATGTGAACAAAATAACACAGAACAACAAAGATTGCAGCCCCCCCGCCCCCCCGAGCACAACCGTGAACACGCCTGTCTGGTCGTGCTTATGCAGGGATGATGGGCATGATCGTGATTGTCACCCGATGCAGAGTTTGTGACCTGCAGCAAATTTTTTCTGAAATTTCTGTTTGCAAGCCAATTTGGTCATGAACTGAGGCGTTTGTGAGCCAAGGTATCACTGTACTGAGGAGCACAAAGTGAGCTGTGGGCAGAATTGCCCTCTGGTCATTTCAATAGTGGCAACACCTACAGCCTCACAACCAGCTGAGGTGGTCTCTGTGTGTTGGTGGTTCACAATGAAATTTCTCTTATGTAAACTTCCAAAAAGGAAGAGGTGTGTGTATGTGTGCGCGCGTGTATGGAATGCTGTGTACCTCTCATACTAATTGAGGAAGATGCATTTTCCCCATTTGAAGGAATATCTTTCCATTATACTTTAAAATAATGCAGTATTAAGCTCTTTGTTGTCTTTTTAAATAGAAACCAGCAATTTTGATCAACAGCTTGTATAAAGTATACAATGAAAAGAAAGATTTTCTTATCAGAAGAAACATTAAAAAAGTGGCAACTGATTATGTCTCTCTTTGTGTAAAAAAAGGTTAGTGTTAAATAAGTTACGACCACATCAATACATTTTTTTACATAGATTTGATTGTTTTATTATACAAACCTGCAGCTATTGCATGTATCCCTTTCCTCCTTCCTTTTCCTCTGCAGGAGAAATTCTAGGAGTGTTGGGCCCAAATGGAGCTGGGAAAAGCACATTGATCAATGTTCTGGTGGGAGATGTTGACCCAACTTCAGGCCAGGTACCCAACTGCAAACTAGTTTTGGTGCATCCGGTTCCTTCCATGTATGTTAACCACTATGGAGCTTCTCACTGAAATTATGTTATTTCACACTGGGACTTCATATCCTTTTTTAGATGCCTTTCATGATAATAGCATAACGCTGGAGATAGATTTCTTGTTAGCCGGCAATACCCAGACTTAATGTGGATAAGCAAATAGAACATTCCAGTGGTGGTGTACCTAATGGTTGGAAATATCTCTGCGCATGAGCTTTCTGTTTGCTTCTTCTTTGTGATCTCTTCCTTGACAGTTTGTGAATTGTGATTTTTAAATCTCTGCAGATTGCACATGGCACTAACATGTGGTTGAACTTAACAAATGGGGTACAGAAAGGTTTGTGTTCATTTTGCTACTGACAAACTTACAGTGCAAACAAAAGATGGACTAGATGGATTCTCCCTGGTAAAAGTTCAATCATATGCATGCCTGCTACCCCCAGGTACCTGCATATGCAATTGCAGTCTTGAAGTAGAAAATTGAACATGGAAGCATTTGAATGCTGTGATTGCCTATATGTGCCTGAGTGCTCCACCATATAAATGTGAAAAGTGATCATGAAGTAAAAGTAACCTGAGAAATCTTGCACTGATATTTCATGTCATGATTTTAATATAATTTTTCATACAACCGTTTTTAAATATTGAGAAAGGACTGATGTATCCACAGGTGCTGATGACAGATTATTCTTTAGGTGGCAATAACGAGGATAATTCCCTGAGGTTTATGGGATACTGTCCACAGGCAAATCCACTTTGGCCCAATATTACATTGCAGGAGCATCTTGAAATTTATGGTGCTATCAAGGGAATGAGTGACAGTGACATGAAAGAAGTCATAAAATGGTAAATATCTTATTTTGAGCATGTCATTTTCATGAACATTAATAGACATTTGTTCTTTCTCCTCCTTTACTATGGTATGCTCTCCCTGAGAATGGTTAATAATGATCTATCTATCTATCTATCTTTCTATCTATCTATCTCAAATGTGAAAGAAGGTAGGAGGTAGAACTTATGCAAATAAAAATTAGATTTAGCGCAGCTTGAAAAGATTTTCATTTTTCAGACCAAAACACTATCTTCTAGACTGTGCTTGCTTTTCAGCAGATATTATTGTGCATGCTAGTTCAGAAGGTAGTTAAAGGTGACTGAAGAACTCAGTTTGAAGCAAGTGTTCTTGCACTTATCCAAAGAAGTGTTGGTTTTGTCATATGAATGGATATACGTCATAACTTTCCTTAAATGAAATCAGTTATTTGTTTATTCCGACTGCCCCAAAGGAAACCCTTTCTTTTGCGGTATATTTCATAGCTGTTCCAAAATGCTTTCTAACACTCTGATCTGACATGCATGCAAGGAATAATCACCAACTCTCACTTTTATACTTACCTTTTTCTGGTGAGGGAGTTGTGCCAGTAAATATTTCTTTGCCATTTACTTCAAATAGAATGTAAGAGGAATGAGCTTCCCCAACTAACACTTTCAGTCGGATAGGCTACTAGGTTCAGTGTCATCCTCATGGTGGAAAAACAGTTGGGTCCACTTTCTTTTTCTTTCATTCTTATGCCCAAATGCTTACATGATATATGCAATTACAAGTGATTTTCACATTACATTTTGTAAAGATACAAAATGAGCCACCTGAATATGAGAGTGTTCACAAGCATCATGGATATGATGTGTAAAAATTGTCACGAACTATAACATATCTGGAAAGAGGAAAGAATTTTCAAAAGACAATTTCAGGATTTTCATATGTGCCCTTCAGCCTTCATGAGAAACTCGAAGGTTGGTTTTGTTTCTGGGCTAGGCATATGGCAGACGATTTAGCTTGGATACCTCAACTAACTCCCTGACAGCTCAACCTTCTTTCCATTCTACTTGTACTTCAACAGATTTCTGTCAAGCATTCAGATGGAAAGTATACGATGCATATCGAGTCCAGTAACAGCGGGAGGGCTTAAGGGTAGGATTAGTTTATACAATGGACAGAATAAACCTTTTTTAAAAAACAGGAGGGCTGATTGTTTTGACTGCAGTTATCTTTGATCAAACCGGTCAGACCTAGAGGAGATCAACCCTGACTGCTCTTTAGAAGGCCAGATCCTGAAGATGAAACTCAAATACTTTGGCCACGTAATGAGAAGGAAGGACTCCCTGGAGAAGAACCTAATGCTGGGAACAATAGATGGCAAAAGAAGAAGGGGACGGCAGAGGACGAGCTGGCTAGATGGAGTCACTGAGGCAGTTGGTGTGAGCTTAGGTGGACTCTGGGAGATGGTGGAGAAGGAGGAGTGTTGTCCATCGGGTTGCGATGGGTCGGACACGACTTCGCGACTAACAACAACAACCACCTTTGGTTTTAGTATTTAAGAAGGAGGGTTGTGTCCATGTTCTTATTGTAATTCAACTTTATTCATTCTAGTATTTATTATTGCATAGTTTGGCTCTTGAACTGCTTTGAGAGGGTATCACACCTTAAAGAGCTGCCTGAAATATTGCAACTATAAAATAAATGAATAATAGCTGATAAATCCATCCCTCTGTCCTTTCTCATTAGTGGTCAGTTTTCATTTTGCATTTTTCTATATAAAAATGATTGCATTCCATGCTGATGTTTTAACATTCTCTCATACTGGATCCTTTGATCACTTACACATTTAACACAGTAGTAACACCCCTTTCATGACCACAGAATTCTTATACTTTGTTTCTCTGCAGTATTTCCAGTGCCTTTGACCTGAAGGAACATCTACAGAAAATGGCAAAGAAACTTGGAGCAGGAATCAAACGAAAGGTGGTGTATTATTTTAGCAGTTGAAATGCTACTGTATCCCATTGAAGCAAATAGCCATCAAATCCACCTTCTGTATTTCCTCTCCTTTCAGTTATGTTTTGCCTTAAGTATGCTCGGTAACCCTCCCATCGCTCTACTAGATGAGCCTTCCACGGGTATGGATCCTATAGAAATACAGCAGATGTGGTGAGTTTTATTAAATGGCACACAGCCCTGGCTGAAAAGGAATATTTCATGAACACACGTTTTGCTTTGTAACTATGCTCATGGGGGTTTTGCTAAGATCACTCTGCTTTTCTCTATTTCCTCCCATGCTCATGCTTGTTTTGCCACAACAGCACCACCCAGGTGCTCAGGAAAGGGCCCAATAGCCATAGGGCAATCCTAAGGTTTATATAAGCTCAAAAATACCATAAGGATACAATCCTAATGCCCCTGTCCTAGATGCAAATAAGCCTCCAAATTCAGAGGTGGATGTGCATCCGAGGGCCACTCTTGGAGAGGTAGCTGGCTCATATCTTTTGCCAAGGGGAGGGGAATGGCCCTCACAGCCTGAGCACTGGGGTCAGAGTACCTCCTTGCTGGGACTCTGGAGAATCCTCTCCCCCACCCCACCACAATGGTATCAGGAAACCACAGGCTTGTGCCCTAAGAGCGTGAGTGTGTGTGTGTGTTTAGGGTGGAGGGTGAGGAACCCATAAGTTTTAATGGCCTGGAATATTCAGAAGCTGAAAATAAATCTGACAACCAAAAGGGAGAAATTATAGAGTTGGGCAAGAAAACAGAACAGCATGGGAAAGTGAATGGAATGGGAATGGTGGATAAAGCAACAAGAGAGGCCTAAATACGAAAAGGGTGGAAAAGAGCCCTCCCATTATAAGGGTAGCCCATATTCTGGGTCTCATGTTCATAAACAGAAGTGCGACTTTTCCACAGGAAGCAGTGGGAAAGTACAAGATTGCAGTATACCTTGGATTAGGCATAAATGTGTCCACTCCATTTCACAATTCCTCTATACAAAATGGATGGGGAAAACTCGGAATGCTCCAGTGATCACTTAGCATGCTCAGAGGACGTAGAATGGTATGTGACTATAGGGATGGGAAGGCAAGCGGGGAAAGGAGAAGAGAAAATGGAGGCTGCATTTTGCAAGTGTCCATGTTAACCACCAGGCAGTTCCCACCTCTTAAAAAGAGTATTTTGGCTACCAATGCAATCAGTCTAAGTGTTCACCATCTTTGGAGTGCTGTTCATTATAGTTTGCATTCAGCTTCATCTCAAATCGTGTTCAGGCTTCCAGCTCAACCTTCTCAGTGTGTTCATGCTCATTCTACCAGATGAACTGCAGGACCATCCAGTTCTGTTTGTCTGGATGGCTCACTCATGGCCAGGGCACTGAGCCTTCCTGTTATCTTATGGAGAGGGTCACCCATGCTTGAGCGAGGTGATAGGTTTGGGTGGCAAAGTAGTACTTCCATGCATCTTGGGCTTTGTGGAAAGTTTAGCTGGTGATTCATCTCCCACACATGTAACTGCACAGAGGACCACTCAAAGAGCAACAGTTTGCACGTTTATGGAACATTTGTTACATTTTATAGGAAAGCAATTCGGACTGCCTTTAAAAATAAAGAGCGAGCAGCCATTCTGACAACCCATTATATGGCAGAAGCAGAAGCTGTGTGTGACCGGGTGGCAATCCTGGTGTCTGGAAAATTAAGGTACCTCCTCCACAAATTGGGGCATATTTGGTAAACAAGTTCAGATTTATGCTTTAAGATATTATTAAAAACATGACAGTCAATTCACTTTTGTTTGCTTATCTTTCACTGCTGCCCCCATCTCAACCCATGGATAGGTCTATTGGAACAGTTCAGCATCTCAAAAATAAATTTGGCAGAGAATATTTCTTGGAAATGAAATTAAAAGACAATGCAGATATACAGCTGAAGGAGTGTCTTCAAAGGAAAATTTTGCACATCTTTCCAAATGCAAGTTGCCAGAAAAGGTAAGAGTTATTAGGAAGAGCATGTAAAGGAAAGTAAGATATATTTATTTTTCTATATAATCTATGCACAAAGACAGTATTGAAATAAATTGTCCCCAGGGCTATAAAAATGTTTTTTTCTGCAAGTGATCTTGTATGCCTTGGGTTTGAATTATAATCTTTACTTGATGAACCTTTCTCATAATCATAATATAGGCACTGACACTGATCTCACTTAGCAAAGTGGAGTGGGCTGAAAAACTTCTGAGCACAGTTAAATGGGTTCAGCTTGTCTCTGTTACTCATCCATGATGCAGAATACATTCTTGACAATAACATGTTTAAAGCTGCAATAAATTTTAACAAATACATTGTAGCAATTTTTTTAAAAATCTGTGGATGGCAATTAATATCAATCACCATCCATTGCAGGTCATTCTATCTACACTGGTTCCAGACTTAATACTTCTAGACAGTTTACTCATTCTCAACTCAGAAAAGACACCCAGGCCCTTTAGACACACCCTCCCTTCACTGCCAAGAGGAAGCAGTGAGTTGACTGCATCTATTTTAAGAAGGTACATAGCAGTCCATCCAAGCAACATAACCACCCCGCCCCCCCCAGAGTTTTTCCCATTCAGTCTGGCTCACTGATCACTTCCTTCTTGATGCAGTAGGCAGGCAAGTACATAAATCTACGGACTGTGCTGATTTAAGATTTCTCTCCATAATGTTCAATTGAGCAAGTCCTAAATTTGTGATATGGACAGTTTCCTTCTCAAAGTTGATTGAACTTAATATTTAGATGTTTCTTTCTTTAAATATCAATAAATCCATGGACAAATAACTAGAACATTGAATGTAACAGACTGTCTCATATCTCTGGTGGTTTTTAATATTTGAATTCCTTTTTTGTGTGTGTTAAATATCAACTCTGGTACCAAGTAGATAAAGACCTTTCTTACCCGATAATGCTCGATTGTATGGCAGGATTGTACAGATTTGCCTACCTCCTGTAATATTACTCAGCCACTTGTCATTGTCACTGTTGTGACATGCACTCATTTCTACTTTGTCTGTGTTGCAGCTTTGCTTCAATTTTAGCATATAAAATTCCAAAGGAAGATGTGCAATCACTCTCATGGACTTTTTCTAAACTGGAAGAAGGTGAGACAACAGTGCCATACATTAGCAGATTATTAGCTATCCATCCAGAGAATCTGAAATCACCTGTTGAATTTCATCCCCCCACCCCACAATTCCATAGCTTTTTAATCCCCTATGTAAGGATTTGAAGTGTCATGAGACTGTGTTCCTTTAAGTGTTGATAAGTTTCAGAAGGACAGAAGGGTGAAAGAGGGGGATGAATGAGTGAGGTGATCGGTTAGTGACTGAGTGTGTGGGCAGAGCTTGGAAGTGTGGGAGGAGAAAGAAATAGATACTGTCAGTCAGTCCTGCTAGTTTGTCTGCAGCTACAGTCCATTGAAATCAGTCAGGAGTGTGTAGAACCTGAAGAGTCAGTAGAATCCCATTGAGTGCTGTGCATGGCACTTGAGGGGCAAAAAGAAAGAGAAAGGAGTAGAATACTTGGAGGACATATTAGCGACTAGGGAGAGTCAAAACTTGTCACTGTTGTAAAGTATAATAAGGGTGTGAGAGACAGAAGCTGACAGAAACCTGAGTGCAGAAGGGAAAGATTGAACAGAGCTAAATAAAATAAGGACCGCTCAAAATACATTCAGGAGAAAAAGGAGGATCTGTGAGTGATGAGGGTTTGTGCAGGAAAAGAGTGTGATACCTCACTCGGAAGTTAATATATACTCTTTTATTTACTAAGAAAGTAATCATAGAACATCTTGACACCCATAAGCTTCATTTCTTATACAAATAAAGTTTTATTTTGTTTATTGTTAACCCAAAGTCATAGGCTGTTTCATAGTCCAGCCGTGGAGCCTTATAGCTTGGGCACAATACAGTGGAAGGAATTAATAAGATTGGAATGAAATTCATAGTGGCAGCATTACATACTAAGAGGGAAATATCATGAAGTTAAAGACACAGAACATCCAAACATCCAAACAAAATATAGGAGTGTATTCGTGGCACCCTATCTTTTTATCCAGATTTATACTCTCGCTTCTTGCAAGGTTTCATAATCTCTCAGGCCATTCTGGTACATGATAATCCTGTCTCATGAGCATATAGCCATTGACATGTTAAACCATGTTTTAAAAAGCACAAACTTGATTGATTGATTTGATTTTCTTTATATCCTCTTTTTAAAATATCTCAGAGCTGGTAACAGGTTTCAAACAATAGCAATAAAAATAAAAAACAGCTAATAAAACCATAATGCTTTCAGTATTGAGACTTGACTGTGAGAACTGCTAAAAAAGCTTGGGAAGGCAGATGGGTGTTGGGCTTACCGTTTTCCAGTCAAGCTGGCAGTAAGCATACTTCCAGCGTTGTATCCCGAGAAATGAACGTCTCAGCCACAAAGCCCCATGTGTTACACGGCGGGTGGCACATGGTTCTGCAACACCCCCTTGGCTTTCCCAGGCCTTGCAATGTTCAGAAATGGAGGGATTTGTGCACTCCTGCCACAGCTTTGCATGTGTATGTCAGAACACCACACTGCCCATCACAGTGTTTCTGTGAGGCAACTGGAGGGATAGCACGTCATTTCAAAATGCATGTTTATATTAATTTGTTTTGCTGCCAAACTACCACTAAGGAGTAAGCAGTTCTTTTTAACATTTTCAACAGCAAAACATGCCTTCAATATTGAAGAGTACAGCTTCTCTCAAGCAACACTTGAACAGGTAATGAGACAAACTTCTAAAGCATAGCGTGTTCCCCTCACCTAAGTTTCTTATATTTTTCTCACAGGCTTCACTCTTATTTATGTATATTGGTTTTATGCAATAAACAGTTGTTTGCTTTTAAAAATTAGCTACATGCATCATAATATTTTGTGACCATAATACAGGGTCTTATAAAGAACTGATGGCCATGCCCTCCACCCATGGTAAACATGCACAGCAGTCTAACTGCATAGATCTATTATGTAACACCATCGGACATAATTCTGCAGTGCTTGTTTTCAACCCTGTGCTTAATTTGAGCCCCCATTTTGTCCATGGCTGAGCAGAATTCAGGTGGACTGTTGCTCTAATTAATGTACTTATGCACGTCTTAATTGTTTTAGGTATTTGTGGAACTTGTAAAAGAGCAAGAGGAGGAAGACAGCAATTTCGGAACACTGAATGGAACGATTAGTTGGGAAAGAGCCAAAGGAGAACAAGTTGTTTTCTGATTTCTTCTGCAGTATAAATTCAAAAGATTGATTTGTCAGGATTTAATAGGGGACTATTTTCATTATTTTGAAGTATGCAATATGCACTATGAATTTAAAATATATTCTTAAGCAATTGAATATTCACCTTTGCCATATTAATACTATAAATATTCTGAAATGTCTTTAGTTTTGAATACACTCGTTACTGAACTATGATTTGCTCTTTTGATGAAAAATCATGATGAATCTTTCTGGATCGCTTTGTTGGGATGATGGAATTGTTTAGGAGGGCTTTTAATGCTTTGCCTTCATAGAAATGCTCGTAATGTATTTCACTAGCCATACAAAGCAATCAAGGGAAAGGGGCTGTTCTGTTTACAGAACTGTGGCTCTAGATCTAATCTATGCTTTTAGAAAGGATCCTTTTTTCTATGTAGTGCATTTTATGAATTTTAATTGCAATATAATGATTTAATATAATTATAATAATGTTTTATTACGCAGCTTTTTGAAAAAAGTTTTGCTAACAGTCTTTTTTGCAACTTTGCCAGTTTCAGGAATATTTGTTACAATTTCCCTCTGCTCACTTTTTATAAGTTAGATAAGTAAATAAGAAGAGAAGGTGATTTTCTAAACTTCCTTTATTTTTAGCAGTTGTAATCTAGGTGACTCAAAGCTCAGATATATCTTAACCTCTGATGAGCCATGAATTATATGCTTAGTATTTAGATTCTGTTTCTTTTTAAAACTTGTTTAAAAATAATTTTGATAAACATTACTATGAGATTTTGCTGTAAGTCAAATTCTCAAACTGATCTGATTTTCCCCCTTCAAATATGAAACTATACACTATTTCACTTGGGTCATTTTGAGATACTTGTCAACTTTTCCATTGCAATACTTTTTTTAAGCAGTTGTATAACAGAATGAACAATCAGTGCATTTGTGTTCCCATCACATCTCTTCCTTTTGAATTATTTAATCCTTGCATCAGTCACATGATCAGTAATGTTACAGGCACGATGGCCACCATCAGAGTTTCCCTAATTTGGAAGAGGTACTTGAAAGAGGCATCTTCCTGAGTCAAGTGACAAAAATGGCCTAGCAGTGCATGATAAACCATTCTAAATTGCAGTTTTTTAATTCAATAATGTTGAAGAGTCTATATATAATGTAGTATAAGGCTACTAAAAATAGCATTTGTATTGAATGGGCTGAATAGTCTAAGTTGCAAGTTGCTACAGAAAAGCTTACTCTGTCTGTGTGTATATATATACTGTATACATAAATATATTTAGAGTTTACACAAATTTTGTTTCTTTCACCATTATATATTAGAATTGTGGGGGGAATTGGCCAAATCTTTGTATTCCTTAGCTAAAACATAGCAATGTCTCAGTTACTTTTGTTGAGCACTATATGGAAAATTAGTCTGAAAGTTATGGAGGTATGAGCTACTTTGGCCTGGCTGTATTTCTCCAGAAGACACAGGTGGCAAACCAGCCCAAAGCTAGTGAAATCTGTCCTGTCTACGATGATTGCACAGTTCTTAAAAAGCAGCTCCCAGTGTATGTCAAGCTATGGGTTTGAGCATTAAAGGAAAGCATAACCCTCACCAATAGTTGGAATCTCTGTTCATCTGCCAGACAAACTTCACATGAACAAGGCTTCCATTGACCTAGATTAAGTTTCAGTTTATTCGCCCCCATTCAGCCCAGGACTGATCCGAAGCAGCAGCTTAGAGCAGGAGCTGGTTCGTAGCTTGGGGGTGCTCCTTGATCTGTCTTTGTCACTTGAGCCTCAGGTGGCCTCAGTTTCTCAGGGTGCCCTCTAACAGCCTTGGCTGGTGGCCCAGCTAGGCTCCTATCTAGACAGGGATTGCCTGGCTTCAATAGTCTACACTATGGTAATCACTATACTGAATGATAGGCACTCTCTGTGGGGCTGCCCTTGAAGACAGTTCAGAAGCTGCATCTGGTGCAGAATGTGGCAACCAGATTGGGACCTGCAGGTCCCAACATATAAGCCCAGTTCTGGCCTGCTTACATTGGCTGCCTGTTGGGCTTCCAAGCCCAATTCAAGATGCTGGGTTTAACCTATAAAGCTTTACACAGCATGGCTTAGCACTGCATGTGATCACAGCCATTGTATGAGATAATACAGTGCACACAGCTCAGTGCTCTGTAATTTGGTTTCTACATTCACCAATCATTCTGAGAATAAAGTGAGACAGACACTTCTCAGAGAGATTAGAACAATGCAGCTGATTGGGGTATTGTGAAAAGTCACCAAATGTTTTTCCTTCCATTTCCAGGGAAGGGAAATGGTGCCTGTGGGATTTTCCATTTCAGGTACCAAAATAACCAGACTGTCTTCACTTGTGAGAACGAACCATTTGCTGCTCTGCCTCAGGCTGCCGTCTGCCTTCAGCTACCCGAGTGTCTGCATGCAGCCCAGTACCGCCTCTAGTAAACAGCATGGCACATTTTTGTGCGGTCTCATCTGACTAATACCAATTGTAGAGAAAGACTATTTTCAGTGCAGACGATAAAGAACTTTTTAAAACATCTATTATACATGTAGACATACATAGTGGTTTTTATCTATATGTTGAACTCTTAATTTTGAGCTCCTAGTTTGAAAAATGGGAATGGAGGAACAGCTTAGGTATGTTGAGATGCAGCTGCTTGCAATCTTTCTGTTAAACTAGGTATATTTGTAAATACTGAACAAGTTTCGCTTCTCAAATTTATATCCATAGTACAATAGATATAAAAAGCTATATATCATATAGGTTATGTTTTTCTAGTGGTATGTATTGCATATATCTTTTTTCTGAAAAACAAAACAAAAGCAGGGAACAGTAACATTCCATTTCCACATAGGGCCCTTATGGGTGTCAGTCACAGAGTTTTGTTTGGATCCAGAGGCCTGTATGAACTGCAGTATCCTTTCCCCAAAGGGCTTCCACTTGAAGGACCAGACTAGGCATGACATTACTTGGAGATGGGCTGCTGTGTCCCAGCTGCTTCGCTTCAAGCCCTCCCTTGTGCAAACATCTGCCTCTGGAACAGGCCACTGAGCTCTTAGGGACCCATGCTCTGCAGTTGCTTCCACTCAAAGGTTGTGCCCAGGGCTGTATCAAAATTATCCCGCTCTTGTTCCCTGCAAAGCTCTAGGAAAACCTAAGTAACACAGAAAAACATATTTTCTTCAGCTAAAAAATAAATTTTTAAGAGGCATCACATACATTTTAACACTGTTGTCACTTGCACCAGAGATATGGGTCATTTGTTTCAGATCTAGTTTATTGCAACAAAATGCACATTTGGGAAGAGAGGACTTTTGATAATATATGAGGGAGGGACCCAAAAACCCCCAGGAAATCATTTATAAAAAATTGTGTATTTTTACATGTTCAAGATGTAACATGAGATGTTTTTTTTCATTGCTCGAAGCAGGTTTTGAACTCTGATTTTGATGCCTTTTAGTGCTTCTGCCGTTTTTTATTTCAGCTCTTCCACATCAGCAAAACATTTCCCTTTGACGACCTTTTTCATCCAGGGGAACAAGAAAAACCCACCTCACTGAATCCGAAGGCAGCCTCTCACAGCCACTCAGCTGGGTACACTGATGCAGAGGGGTTCCTGGAACACTCACCTAGCGGGGAAAGCCTGTACTACAAGGGGCCCATTCCAGAAAGTAATTCCTGGGGTTTTTTGGGTCCCCCCTCATTCTCTAAGAAAGCCAAGATGCAACCCATGATGTCCCTCAAATTTGGCTTTTTAAAAGGCTTGATCTGGGCTTTTTATTAATTATTCAAGGAAAGAGTGACCAAACTTTGAAAGCTCTGGTAATCTAGTGAAAGACTGAATGTAGCCTTCACCAATCCCATGGCAATGAAAGAGGAGGGAAATTAGAATTCAGCCCCACCTCTCAATAGAGCAAGCGAATGGATGTAACACACACACACACACACACACACACACACACACACACACAATGGACAATGTTTCCAAAATACCAGCATATTTTAGCTTAATGCAGTTCCTGCCAGTAGCTAAGGCTTAGGAGTGAAATTTCAGCCCTTTCTAATCGTGGAGTGGGGAATGGGATGGGGAGAGGAGCTGGAGAAAGCTGAGAAGTGGGTGGGGCCCAGAAAAAAGGATTCCTGGAGAAGGTGCTGTTCCCCTTATTTGGAGACATCCAAAAGCTCGATTTGTTGAGGCAGGAGCGAGTGATTCCCCAACGTAGCTTTCTGAGCCTGGCTGAGCAGAACACCACCAGCATTTCTGAAGTCCCCCATGCAGTGGAAGTGAGCCATTGCTCTAGATGTATAGCACCTGCCCAGATGCTGGTAGGGAAACATAAATAGTTCTGCTTGGCAAGACATTATCTGTCAAACTGAGTGTGGCTTCCATCTATTCTGTTTAAAACTTTCCATTTTGGGATACAGTAGAATAGTTCCCCACTCCAAATACAGTGATCACTGGTACTTTAAAAGTACATTACCTGTTCCAAAGTGTTCAGAGAAAAGCTGTACTCCTCGAAGTTAAAGCTTCGTTTAGCTGGGAGGACATAAACACAAACCAATCAGTTCTGTTGAATTAGATCTCATCAGGTTGATACTACCCTCCTCACTGCCCCATGGGAAGCAAGCGCACACCTGTGCATTTCACCCACAGGATGCACCTGCTTTGCCTCTTGTGCCCCCCCAGTGTCCACATGTGACAATGCCTGATGAGGGTACAAACATATGCATCCCGAGATGCCTCTATTTTCCCTTATGTGCTGGATGTTGCACATATATGCACTCTTCATGTGCTCCATCCATGTTTGACTATCTAGTGATGCTGGCAGCAGAGAAAGCAAGAACTTTGAGTGCCGTGATTTATAGAAGCAAGGGAAGGGCACAGTCCTAAGCAAGGTGGGCCTTAAGAATCTTCATCTGCAAATAGGTGCATAATAAGGCAACTTAAGAGTGGCACATACCTTCCTCTAGCATGGAGAAGGCTTTGGAGAGAGGCAGAGCATCTTCCATTGGGATCTTGTAGACCAACAGAGTGGAGATCCTAAGATAAGGGGAAAAACCCACCCAGCAGTGTTTTTGATCTAGATAAACATGGAGAGCAGGAGCAAAGGGGAACAGGCAAGTCCAGAAATCTCTTTCTCTTTTCCTTGTGCATGTACACTTTGGCTGCATTCACATAACCACTACAAGTAACCCTGCATGGTTAGCACGGTTCATGGGTTTTTTTTAAACCATGGTCTTCCTGACAGATGATCAAGTGGCTTCTACTTTATCATGGTTTTTATCCTTCCCACTCAGTCCTCCTGCTGTTGGCATGTATCCCATCAGCCACTGCACCTAAAATTCAATCCCAAGTTGCATCATCCCTTGCCTATGTTGCTGCCGCCACCGCCGCCACCGCCGCCGCCACCACCTCCTCCAGTTTGCACATACAGGTTCGGGGCTGGAGTGGTTCCTGCAATTACCACTCTTTCCAGGGCACTCTATGGTAGCTGCATTCAGACCACATGAAAGGCCATTGTGATTCAGAGAAACCATAGAGCAAGCTATTGTTTCTTACTGTGGTTTCGAAAGAGCAAACGCACCATGATGAGATGCCATGCCTGGGCTCAGACAAAACACCAGACCAACATTGGAAAAAACCGCCGTGGCTTGGTCATGTTGCCTGAACCCAGCCACACACACTGAGAGAGAGATCTTTCTCTTGAACAGCTGAGCTCCCGGACTCCAGATTTAAAAGCAGCAAAGACTGTTGTGTTAGGAAGGGAGCTGCATGCACAGTTCCTCATTCTGTCTGGGATACCAAGATAGAAGCCAGTATGTGTTTGCCACCAAACAGTATCATATTGGGATTAGTGGGCCCAAGTGTCAATAATTGAAACCTAGAAGGTTGAGTGAAAAGATGGACATTCACCCCATCTTGTTAATCCAGCTGATCCTCTGAAGCTCAGAAAGGTTAAATAAATACAATACAAAGGAGGACATAAAACATAACAATACAGGAAATTTTGAAAAAGAAAATGTAAATGTGGTTTTCAGTTACCTTTCTTGACGAGCCGCTTGGGGGAACATCTGTAGAATCCGAGTATTCAGAAGCTCTCCTTGCTCTATCCCCTTTACTTTAATTTGCAGCAAGTAGTTCTTGCCAAATTTGCTCTTCAGGTACTGAATGGAACCAAGGCACCTGCGAGAGGGAAGGACAGGACAGCACTCAGGAGTTAGCACAGGCCTCAGAGGCTGCCTGGGGCACTCCGGCAAGCTTGCACCGATCTATCCGATAGAGCACAGATGACCTTCTCCTTCGTGTGTGCTACTGCACGAGTGTCCACAGACGAGGGCTACCTATTTGGAGTCTTCCAATGCATACATATGCTGAGCAAGATTCATTTTAAGTTTCATCTTTTAATTGGAGTTGTTTTGTTTCACTTCTCCTTATACTTTCCAGCCAGAACTGTAGTAATCTACAATAATGAACAGGAGTGTCTTTAAAGGTCAGCCACAGTGATTAAAATCGTATAAAAATGGCAAGGAATGTGGTGGATAAAATAAATTAGTTGCTAGAAGAAAGAATACGTCACCATGGTCCTTTCTTTAGATGGCATGCAGAATGTTCTTCAGGGAAGGCACGGAGATGTAGGCTCTCATCCAGGATGACCTCCTCCTGAGCATGCTGCATCTGTATACCTGAGCGTTCACGCTGATGCAATATTTTTCATAAAACCAAACTGAGTCATCCCAGTGGCACCTCTCAGTTTGTTCCACCCTCCTGTGGCTTACATGGCATGGAAGGAAGGGCGAGAGAGGAGGCAACAAGTGGCTGTGGACACTCCGGGCTGCTTTCCCAGTAACACCTCACTGAGGCAGCTGCTCCAGAAGGATGCCATGGTCACTAGCACCAAATGGCCACGGCAGCTCCCACGGGAAGCTGCAGGATCCTGCACTCCTGGCAAAAGCATGCAGGCATTGTCACAAGGACAAAACGTGTGGCCTTTGCCAGAAGACAGGAATGGACTACGGGAGCCATTTGCCTCCTCGGTGCCATGGCTGCTCTTGGCATCCTCACACCCTCCAAAATAAAAGCATGAAGACGCCCACCTGAGCTGCCCGGCCACCATGATGGCTACTCGATCACACACCGCCTCCGCCTCCTCCATGTGGTGCGTTGTCAGAATGACTCCTTGGCCCTTGTCCTTCAGGATGGTATGGATAGCTTTCCTGCAGAGAGCCCAAGGTTTGTTGTGGTGCCGGAGTGCTGAACCAGTCCAGCGGGCCAGCTTCTGGCATTCTGTTGTGCTCAAGAAACAGGGCCTCGCTGGCAGGAGGATGGGTTGAGCTGGCCCTTCAAACACCAACTCAGCCCAAGTTATTTGGGAGCCCCTGTCCAAGCTCTATCCAGAAAGAGGAATTCCAGACACCTTCCCAGGCACCAACTAGCTCCCAGTTTCCTTCTCTCCACCCCATTTCCTTGCAACAGGTAAATGTACTTCAGCATCACCACTACTAGGGGCAATGGGGTATGTGAGTTGCTCTCCTGCACAATTTCCTCCCCATGTCTCTGGGAAGTTCTCTTCACTTCCCCCAGTCAAGTGGCTGCTGCCACCTCCGAAGGATGGCTCAGGCTTTTCTGGGTACAGGCTGTGCGAAAAATGGAAATGGGTAAGAAATTGGGTACCACGGCCACGTAACAGCATTCCTTGGCAACCAGGGTTGGGAATCTGCCTCTGACGTGTCAGAACAGCATGCGACAACTTGTGCTGCTCATTTGCTCATCTGAGCAGAGCACAGGGGCACACCCCAGGATGAACAGTGTGTAGCGGTGATCGAGGGGGGCATGAGCACTCTCCTCCTTTGTTGGCAGGCAGGCAGGCAGGCAGGCAGGCAGGCAGGCAGGCAGGCAGGCAGAGTCTAATCCTGCTGCCTGTCCTTTGATCCCATGGGCTAATGGCCAGGCAAACTGGTCAGGTGGAACAAGAATTTAAGCTTGTTGAGCTTGCAAACACAAACCTGTATGCGTGCGTGCGCACACACACACACACAACAATACAATGTATAAGCCAGCCTTGGTGACTCATTAAAGGGCTTCAGCTGCCATGGGAAGGGCATGGGCCATCTAGAGCAGGAGAAGGCACCCTGGGAAGTGACAGAAGCATCAGGACAAACAGTGATCTGGGGTAGAACATTTGTTGTGAGCGGAGCCGGCTGGAGCCAGGGGTCAGACTAGATGGCCTGGGAGGCCCCTTCTGACTCGCGCTGTTTCTATGTTTCTATTTTCCAGTGCTATATTTTCCCACAGACGTTTCCCCATGCTTTGTATGTTGCTGCTGCTGCTTTTGCTGTTGGCATATTTGTTTCTATCCCACTGATTCCCCATGAATGGGATGTTCACCCATCCTTGTCTGAGCCGGACAAACGCAGCACGAGCACGACAGCGCTCTCCTGCTCCAGGTCCTCGCCCTGCGCGCACAGACCCGCATCCGTCCTTGCATAGTCCACGTGTGAGTGAGGGAGAGAGTGAGAGGACACAGAGCAAGTCCCCAACCCCCTCCCATCCGTGGACTCCCTGCCTCGGGAGCAAAGGGGCGGCCTGCCTGGTCTCCATGCTTGCATGCTTTGGGCATTGCCTGCTTTGCTGAAGAGAGTAAGTGAGCAGAAATGGGAGTAGGGAAGTCATGTTTCAGCTGCAAGTTTAGAAAACAAGGCCTACGTAGTTAGCATGAGGATGGCTCACTTACCACACCTGGCGCTTTCCGTTGGGATCCATCCCTGCAGTGGGTTCGTCTAATAGCATCACTGTTGGATTGCCCAGTATGCTCAGGGCAAAGCATAGCTAAAAGGAAGGGGAAAGTTCTATCTCTGAGAGAAAACCGTATGCATATGAATTTTTATGCAAACTTAAAAAGAATTCTCAGCTTTTGATAATCTGAGCTTATGGGTGGGAAAATTCTCAATGTCAATTCTTTAACGCTGGAAACCAAGAAACACAGAAACCAAAATTAGCACAATCATTCTTTCTTGATATACATATCCAATTATTAAAGACTGCTTCTCCAGAAATATAATAGGAACTCTGGACACTATAATGTCTGTTCCATCTATATTTTGTAGATTGTCAGGAATCTTTTGTTCCATTGTCTACTTCCTGCCTGAACGTGGGATTTTGTGCAAATGTAGTTCTATACATTTGCGCGCATATAGAGTTGCTCAAATTTCCACATGTGTCAATCCCTCAAAATATGCATTTTCTCCAATATGCATATTGCTGGCCTTAACCTCTGATGGAAATGCACATTTAGGGTTGGTCTGTCTTTATTTGATGCATTTCTCCATAAAAAAATTTCTATAAGTTAAATGAAACAAAATAAAAACAGAACAAAAGACATGCTCAGGAAAAACTGGTTGCTATGGACTACTCAGCTCAGGTTCTTAGCCATTTGAACTTGCCTGAGTCCACTGTGCATTCCTCTAATACCTATAATAGAAATTCACCTATAAAAAAATCACTTGAACTTTTATTGAAGAGGCAGCAGCTAATCCTAGTAGGTCCAAGATGTATAAAAGGATGCCGAGTATTTCTGCATAATTTTCGCTTGCAAAAAAGCTGCTTTGGAGCCACTTCCACAAAAATCCATCATGATTAATATTACTACATTGCATTTATATTCTTTTTTCCCTCTTCCAAGGGACCCATGCAAGGGAACATCCTTTTCCTACACTTTGTTTTGACCTGCATGCAGCAACACTGTGAGACTAAGCCAAGAATGACTGGCCCAAAGTCACCTGCGGGGGGGGGGGGGGGGTCATGGCAAGTGAAGATGTCCCAGGCCCCCAGGCCCACCCTCCTGACCCAACACTGGCTCTCAAGAAACAACACGAAGCAAGAAACAAAGCAGCAACCGAAGCAGGGAGGCAAACTTGGTGCTGGCGGCCAGAGGCCATCCGCTGTCAAAGGAGGTTTCCTGACCTTGTCACCCCTACAGCTAACACTACATGTTTGGCCAGAGGTTCTGCCTTAACACAGCACAGAACTTACTTTTCTTGATAATCCAGCAGCTAATGTCTTAGTAGTCTTGTTCAAATGCTCCTGAATTCCTAGAGCTTCAGCTATTCTGAAAGAGAATTAGGAAGTACCATGTTTGGTTTTTTCTGTAACTTGATTTTTATTACAAGACAGTTGCAAAAAAAAGGGGGGGGGGGCAAACAAAAAAGCAAGGTGATAGGATTTCACAGTGTTCCTTTGAGAATGAATGGATACCCACACACTACAGCTAGTGTGTCCATGAATAAGAGCTTCCACTCAGATGTAAAAGTCAAAACTGGGAATGACCAGCTTTCAAGACCCAAAAACCTAAGACACGTATTGTATTGTGCAAGGCAACAACGTATTTGCTGCCCATACCGGTCAATCGCGATGGCAGCAACACCTTTCCGAATGCCTTTCACAGCAGCATAAATCTCCAGATGTTCTCTCATGGTCAGGTTGGACCAGAGGGCATTCTCCTGAGGACAATGGCCAAGAAATCCAATGGCATTTTCTTCTCTTGCAGCCACATCAGCCCCTTTTATCAGCATCTGTGCAAAACAGCCAGTATGGTCAACTCAATGAAAAATTGTTGGCGTAACTGCATCTCTGGAACTGTTTTTTTTAATAATAAGTTTTATTCAAAATTATAACCTTAAAACAAAGAAAAACTAAAAACAACATCAATCAACAGAAACATCGGACCTGCTGGGTCAGCCCTCACATTTTTTTCCATTTATGACAACTTAGAAATAGATTTAAATCTATATGGAGTCCCATAGAGTCTAGCCAATAATAAAAAGAGTCCCAAGTTTAATAGACATCAGTATCTTCTTTCTCCTTCACTGACAAAGTCAATCTATCCATTTCTGCACAGTCCAAAATCTTTTTTAGGATCAGTTCGTCGGTGGGTGGTTCTTTACTTTTCCAGTGTCGAGCAATGCATCTCTGGAACTGTTAAGGACCTCCCAAGGAGGGTCTGAAACCATGAAGGCTGCCCTTCCATTCCGAGCACTTTCATGCTCTCAGAGGACTTGTGAGAGCTCAGCACAGTCCTAGAAACACAGCTGGAGCACTCCCATTGCATCCTAGCAGTGCAGAACCGGACAACCAACAGGCTGGACTGAAAAGGGAAACGATGATGGCGTACATGTATACTTCACACCTCTTGTATTTCTAGTCTGGATGTTGAATAAGCATGGGTTGTATACGTTTATCCTGGCGTGGAATCTTTATTTTCTTTTCCTATAATTTATTTTGGTGGGATTTTTGAATTAGGACACACGGAGAAACATCAGACCATTTGGGCAAAAGCCCCTGACAAACAGGTATGTCATGGGAGGATGCACAGGTGTTGCAATGTAGGCCACAGAGTGGAAGACAAAAGCCCAGGAGCCCAACAGTCATGGCATTAGCATGCTGGCTTTTGTCCTTTAAATGGCAGCTGAGGAGGGGAAGAGGTGATCAGGTTATTAATTCTCTCGGTCTGAAAAGGAGCACAGCATTTAATACCAAACAAAGAATAGCGCCTTGAAATAAGGAACAGCTGGCAAGGCTGGAAAGTGTAGAGGCGAGGAGGGGCTGGGAACGCAAAACGATGAATACAGAACATGTGGAAGGAGGAAGATGCTTGTGCACCTGTCTTCATTGGAGGTGCTGCAGGTACCCATCAGGGCTGATGCAAGGTGAAAAAAGAAGCTGCATGGGATGCTCTCGTTCCATCCCCTTGTCTAGTCAGAAGTGCATATGTGTTTGCTGATGGACCTCTTTCCATCTCTTTATGTTCTAGTAATGCAGTTCTGAAGAAATACTTCCATGATAAAGTAGTAAACAGCACAAAGAGAAAGACCTTTTCACAGACTTGTTAAAGCAATCAGGACCTGCTCAGACAAAGTAATATGAACTGTAGACCGAATGCACTTTACTTTCTATTACTTTGTCCTTAATGCAACACAGAACTTTTCAGTGCCTACAATACCTGGGAACCCCTGCCCTACCTTTAGAGTGCAACCCTTCACATGCCAAAGACTTGCTTCCCCAGGTAAGTGTGCATAGAAGTGCAGTCTTCGTGAAATAATAAAGTTTCATAAAGACAGATTTCAGATTTATTATTAACATCATTGATTCTGTCAGAAATGCACTTCTCTGTAGCAGAAGCCATGCCTACCTGTCCGGCAGTCGGATCCATGTCTCCTATTATCATGTTCATTGTGGTGCTTTTGCCAGCTCCGTTGGGCCCCAGGAGCCCTACAACCTCTCCTGGAACAAAGACAGAAGGGTTTTCTTAGCAAGCATCCTAGGATACTGCACCACCCCAGACAAAGGAGAGAAATTGTTGGCTTTCAAAGAGAGCTGTAAGGAGAGAGCCATAATGAAAAAGGCCCTAAAAGCAGGTGCCTTAGTGATCACCAGTGTTCCTCTGGATCGGAAAGTCTCAGCAAATAGAAATGAGCATCAGACTGAGGTTGCCCTGTTATTCACTTGTATTATATCCCAGCTTTGTGTCCAGTGCCTTGGAGGGTGGTCAATGGTAATTGCTTTGGTAATTATCTCATCTGTTGGCTGTGGCAATTACGAGGGGAGGGAGAAAGACCACAGAAATCTCTGGAGGGCAGGCTCCTGGAGGTTCCACATGGACCTAAAGCCCAGCTGGCGTCCACCCTGCTTCTCTGCAGCTGCCCACCCTTGGAGGTCAGGCAAGGTCCAACAATGGCTTGCCTGCAGTGTCTTTGTTCCAGAAAACCTTCCTTGCTGGCCAGGCAGAGTTTTAATGTCATTGTATTAGTAAGAAAGCAAAATCTACCAAAGTTGCCAAAATAAAAATCAACTAAACTAAATAATATGCAACATAGAAAGCAGAAGATGGTAAAACAAGAGAATGCAAACATGCAGTACACAAAAATCATATGAAAAGCACCTAACATGCGCAGGAATAAAAACACATGAAAGAATGAGCCAGATTTTTAAAAAACTGGCAGAAATCCTTTCCTGGATGTTTACAATTAAAATATTTTGTTTTTCTTTTAGGAAAAGGTTCAGGGGAGGGAGGAAATCAGGCAGGAAGAGCATCCCCAAGGGTCTCCAATGCCCTACAGGGGCTGAGGGGGCTGTGTCTTGGAATAAACACCTTTCCTTCCAATATATCACCGTTTTGTTTTTCTGCTCCAGAAGGACTGTTTTGCCAAACAGGAAAATAATATTTGATTTTTCCCCTTTGCAACATGAACCTGGACTTAGCCCAGCTGTGTTCCTATAGCAACTTCCCTGTGACTATGCCCAGTTGAACTCAATGGAACTTATATCTGAGCAGACATAACAACATCGAACTATTAAGGTTTTCATTCTACTTCAGTGTTATGTAGCCTAAACAAAACCAACATTTTCATAAAATATTGAATTTTACTTTAAATATTTCCAACACTGCTAACATTTATCTGCACATCCTAATTTTAAACTTTAAAAAGGTTATATGATGCTGTGTTGGATTTTATGATTTGGATTACTGCTAATCCAGGCAGCCTTGGCTAAAGGGTGGCCGAGGAATCTAAATAGATCAATGCATAGATAATAAACCAAACATAAATACAAAGCAAGGTTTTTCCAGGTAAGAACTTCTACAAATAATCAACAGCATTTTTGCCAGCTCACCTCTTTTGACACAAAAAGAGACCATTCTAGTGGCCACCTTGTTCCCCTGCTTGTCCTTGAAGCAGCAGCAGGAACAAGACCTTCCGCCTTGGTACTCCTTGCGCAGGTTGTGGACAATGATCACTGGTTTCTAAGTGGAGAAAACAGCGAAAGCTGCTGGGGGCATGAACCGTGGCGACATACGAAGCCGCATCACAAGGTGCAGGACCTGACAGTCTGCTCTTTCTTGCCAGCAAGCCGAGGACAGGGACCGGCTCGATGCCTTAACAAGTGCCCATCGCGGTTCCTGCTAATCCTCGCCATTGGCCTCGCAGCATCTCCGGAGTGAAAGCAGTTCTCCCACTGGACAACGACCAGGCAGAGTTGGCGACACTTTTCTCTGGCTGTTTTGAGATCTTTTGCCCCCTTAGCTCGCTTGAGCTGCCGGCCTGCCTGGGTTGGCAGGAATGATCTCAGGGCTGTGTGCGCCTTTGATTCACCATGAGGATGCAGGCAGCAGCTCCTCTTAGTGGTTTGCTTTACTGAAGAATAAAAGTGCCGTGTGGGACTAGAAATTGTCTCAACCCATGGAAGGGAACACATTAGCTAACAGTATGGCTGCATCTCTGGACTGGGAGATCCCGGAGTTCTTCTGCGCTCTCTTACGCCTACTTCCAAGCTTGGCCAAGCACCATTTTGTCTCCTCAGCCAACATCTGGAGGATGCGGCTTGCAGTTGAATCCTACTGGCCAAAGTACCAACTGAGTTTCCATTCCCTCGCTAGCTGCTCACCCTCGGACATCCCTTCCCTGTCCAGTTGTCATATTTCATTTGTAGCCACGCTCCTGCTCTCTTACTTGCAGCCAGGAGAGGAGTGATCCAGCTGCGTGCCCATTACTTCCTCCAGGGTCATGTGCCCCTGTCCTCTGCTCTGTGGCCTGCTGACTATTGGACAGCAGCACTCCAGGCCAACTCTTCTGCACAGTCCAGAGTGTTCCCTTTGTTCCCTTGCGGCCCACTGTCCCCAGCATTTCCTGCAGATGCCACCATCTCATCCCCACCTCTCTCAGTGAGCCTGTACCACAGCAAGCTCTAAAGAGGCATCAGAAAGAAAAGCACAGCAGTCAGGGCTTACCCCTTCCCGATTGGCAGAGGCCAGAGCGCTCTGGGCCCGGGCCCTTTCCTCCTGCACATCTCTATCATCATCTTCGGGAGGCTTCTCAGGATTCGGACGGGAGTGCTTTCTCTGTGCAGAGATCCTAAAGATCAAGGACAGCACAACGCACTTTCAGGCACAGCACACCAAGAAATGCATGCTGTTGATCATTAGGATATCAGTATAGTAAATATTAGAGACTGTGAGTGGTGCAGTGGTTTAAATTGCTGAGCTACTGGGCTGATTGATTGACTGATCAAAAGGTCGCCGGTTCGAATCTGCACAGTGGAGTGAGTTCCCATTGCTCCGTCCCAGCTCCTGCCAGCCTTGCAGTTCAAAAGCATGCAGATGCAAGTAGATGAAAAGGTACCACTTTGGTGGGAGGGTAACAGTGTTCTGTGCACTTCAGTGTTTAGTCATGCCGGCCACATGGCCACAGAGACTGTCTGCGGACAAGCGCTGGCTCCCTCGGCTAGGAAATGGAGACGAGCAGCTCCCCCCAGAGTCAGGCATGACTGGACTTAACGTCAAGGGGAAACTTTTACCGTTATAATAAATCTAGGATCTGCCCTAACAGGCCAAACCCATTTCAGAAAACCCTCCCATTTTCTGCTTCTTGTAGAAACATTCCATCTCACTGTCTGGGACTAGGGAGAAATCTTTGCATGAATCACAGTGAAGGATCTCTATGTTTCACTATCATTTTATCAGTATCATTTTACTATGCATTGAGTTAATCAACAAAATTAGGCATTGGTGGAATATTCTTCCTAGATGAGATTGATTTAACTCAAACTCTAAGCAAAGTTTGTGATGATTGACATGCGAGAAGGAGTAACATTCCATGCCCATTCCTAATAGCATAGTTCAACAAGATAATAAGCGGACACTTTCTTTCAGAGCCGTGCTTTAAGTTATGTTATATAAACTACCACATAAAATAGACAATTCCTAAAAACATTTTGTAAAAAAGAGTGTAAATTTGATTTTCCTCTCTATTAAAAAAATGAAATGTTCCTCCTATGTCAAACCCATTAAAGGTGTCCACCACATTGCAAGCAAGCCCTGGTACAGTGGTGGGGCAGCAGCTGTGGTTCCTCAGCTATGGGAGTAGGACCAGAGGAAACGGCAATTCGGCGACAACAGAACATGCTAACAGTGAAATGCTGCACACATTTGCACTTCCCAGTAAGAGGAATACCTTGCATTGCTAATGTTAATGCACATGAGCACACGCACTTCTGCGTACAAACCTAAAGACAGGATCTCTTCTCATAACCGGCCTCCCATATCTCGTCACCAGACAGCGAAGCAACAAAATGAAAACTACACCTTGCATGTAAGACTAGATAAAAACAGAAACATCATGCATATCTGTAATCATTTCAAAATAATTCGTTCATGCCTGTGTTTGATTAAATCTCTCTGTACTCAGGGAATTGGTACAATTTTGCAGCGATTTGTCATATGTAAATACCGATGACTTCATTCCATCCATAACCACTCGGCTCGTGATTGCCCTCCATGAGCTTTGCTACCATCGCCTTTCCCCATTCTAGCCTCCTACTACACAACTCAATTACACTAGTGCAGCTCACACAGAATTCCAGCTCATGGTGTTATCTACAACTTCAGCATTCTGAGAGTGAAACGCTGCATCAGCAGTTGCATATTCAAAACAGAGCTCAGCACACACCTTGCTTTACTTGTGGCTTAAATATTGAAATAGCTGCCTTCCCCCTACTCATAATCAGCATCTTTCCTCTTCTCCCCTTGCGATCATTTCATTTTATGGCATCCTATAGCCCTCCAAAGGATCCAACTACATGGAGAGGACAAGAGCCCCCCGTTTTTGAAGCAACAGGACACTCGAACAGTGAGAGTCTTCTGAGTGAAACACCTCACAGTGTCCGCCGAATTGGAAGGTAGAAATGTGGGAAGAGGCACTCTGATTGAGCCTACTGCTTTTCCCACTGTCCATGCCTGACTACGGCCGAGAGGGTCTTCTGCCCTGCAGTCCTGAAATTCCTTTCAGGAAGGCATGTGTACAAATTTCTGCTGAACCCATGAGCTTGCTCCCCAAGAAACATGACTAGAGTTCCACTAGTAGAACAGGTTTTCAAATCCTCTCCTTCCTGTCCTATTGCACAAACCTGCACCATGCCGGCCTTTGCTTTTGAAGAACAAAGAAGCACCCATAAGAGTGCTCTATTTGGTGCAGTGAACTATGGGGCAAGGGGGGTGATCAGCAGAAATTAAAATGGTTTTCCTCTCTGGAGGGCCAAGCCATAGTTCTTTGCAACAGCATCATCAGCCGGAAATTGGCTTCACTGAAGTTGACTGGAAACATCCACATAAATTGTTGGAAATTGGGGTGTCAGTGTTGAAATTCATTAGCTTTCTTCCCTCTTTTCTCCCCACAACAAGTTTATGAAGCAAGCCATTATTTCAGTACTTTAGTTTAGAAACAGAGGCAAACAATATAGGCATACTGCCTATATGGCAGTAGTAATGCCAGTAATTTGCTTGTTTTAAAAATGAATGTAATGCCCGTAATTAGCTTGTTTTATACCACTGACTCCCAATTCCTACAACAAATGGCACTTCTTCACCAATGGATATAAAGAAGCATTTATCAGCAATTCATCGTAATTCAAGCGCAATTTTTGCAACAACTGAGTACTAAGACGTGATTTCTCCAAGGCGCATGGGAAGTGCATTCCCTATAAAACGTCCATGTAGCTCAGTTATGTTATCTGAACTACAGTGGAAGCAGTGGTTGATAGCAATGTTATCAGGCCTTTGTCATAAGATCTTTCTTATAAACAAGAATGGTGCATTCATTTCTCACCATAATGGAAGACATCCAGAGCGGCTTCTCATATATACTTATTATTTCCTCAGGAATTTCCCTAAAAGTTAGCTTTAAGAGGGGAAAAATATAATGTAGATTAGTCCCTCCAATACTGCATATAGGTACTCTCCATGCTAATCAGTTCAAATATAAAATATGGCCACTGAAAATTATGGTTTCTACATATTCAAGAGACTCCTCAACTATACAACATTGGTCCACAGAAGAGAAAAGGATACTTTACAATGCTCAGGAAGG